GAAAACCGACATTGGCTCAGACTTTTATCATTTTCTATACAAACAATGAAATGTAACTATGCGGTTTCTGAAGAAAGGTAGTAAATAATACATGATATATTCTTTTCTAGCTTTTTGGCTACTAATATGAAATATCATAGTATGAAATATCTTAGAGAACAAAATAAGTTTTCAATAAACAAAAAACAAAAGCATTGATAAATATGTATATTATAATTATCAAACGACAAAGTTTTAGATATTGATTCGATTTAAGATTAAACAATTAGTATCATATATGCAATCATATCATAAATAGTAACGACATTTTATCTGTATTTTAGTTGAAAAAAAACAGTGTAATAATTTCGATATGTTGAGGTGTTATTAGCATCTGATGCTGAACTAAATATTAGCAAAATAATGTTTGAATTACAATATTTTATTTTGTTTACTAAATTAAGATAACGTACTACCCCTATTTCTGATCACGTATTTGAAATAGGCACAAAAGTCTAGTTTCAACTCGTTTTGTTTCATTTATCTAGAGTCATTTTAACCGAGCACAAAAGAGGAACTAATATTCTGCCATAAAGTTTTGGGATGACTTTTTAAATATTATTATCAATCTATTGGAATCTATCATATTCGAACTACTCAATGTTTTGTTGAAAAGAATCACGATATCTCTTCTAATTAAACTAAAAATAACTACAAATAAATTGTCAGAAAGAACATATACTATATGTTGTGCTTCTTAAATCAAATACTTAAAATTTCTTTCATAATGGATCAAAACAGATCCTGTGCAATAGTCGCAATACCGTAGACAGACGAGATTTCATAGTTTATGGAGATCATCAAAATAAAGTTCGTCAAGTTTCTTTCAATAATCTTTATCATCAATCATATTTCTTGTTCATTTCTTGGATATATACCCGATAATCATATCATCAAATTGAACGATCTCAGTAATGAAGCTTGCCGAAATTTGACGAAATCTATATTGACTGAAGAATTTTCAATGAGTTAGCGAGATTCAAACATCTTACAATTTAGAGGACATAAATTAAAGAAGATCAGAACTTAATAGTGCAGAACAATCGTTGAAAACAACATGAAGAGATCTATATTTCAATCTGCGCTGAGAAATAATACTGATGAAACAATTGCTAACATGTTTGTTACCATGTTGATGTATTATTTGTTTCAACTTGGTATATCAGCACACATCAGAACTGCGTATTTTTTTTTCATGCGAATGTCATAGAGTAGTTTCAAAATAACACCAGGAGCCGAGAGCAAAGCGGAAGAGTGAATAATTTTTTTTTTTTTTTTTGGTACTGGACTTCCTCTTTATATATATAATTTATATAAAAGGTGTATCAAAATATGTTGTATCACTATAGAATCATACTCTTTTTAATTTACTTTGATCCAGGTAAACGTTTTGAAAAAACAATATGATTTTCTCCGAAAATAGTAACTTTTTTTGTATTAGTTACAGCAAATCTTTAATTCATTTTAGGATTTAGATATATTCTGAGATATTTTTCTTCCTAACACTAATAATGCACATGGCAATTCTTTTCTTTTTACTAGTTACTCCAAAAATAAATCAATATCAAATATACTCTAAAAGTCATTCCAGTTTCGAATAAAGTTAAAAATTGAATATTTGATGAGATAATCGTAGTTTCTAGAAATCTTCATCTGAGTGGTCACTAATTGAATGATGTTTTTGGATCTATAATCTACTGCCATTTTTGTAAGACTTCGAACATTTTTGAGTACAGATAATATGTATAAAATATCTGATTATTGCTTTTAGTAACCTTAATAAAGGAGTTTTACCAACATTGATAGTTCAGATGTAGAAGAATACGCCAAAAAGTAAAATTTCAACAAAAAAAAGCGAGATAATATCTATAAGCATTGATCTGCAATGAATTCGTAAATATTTACCGAAAACGAGTTCTACACATCAATTCTACATAAATAGAAAATATCTGATGAATAATAGATCTCAAACATTTGCAGAACATAGATTTTGTATTGAAATCGAGACTTAAGTTTTCTACAATTCTGAATCCGAAGAAAATACGAAGTAAGAAAATTTTCATGAATTAATTTTTGATTATAGGTCAACTGTAAACATTCAAACAAATACGACAAATTTGAACTACAATTTTGTTTATAAGCATTTAAAGCACATACTTGATCTAAAATTTATGGTAAGATTACGAAAGCCTTAAGGCCCCCTCAGAAACGAACTTTGTTATTTTTCATCCGATTTAAACCAAAATTTCAGAGAATGTTAATCTTGACTAGAATAGCTTATGGTTAAAATATCTCCCCCAAATCTCAAAGAAATGCACAAGTTCTAGGCAATTCATTACCCTTTACGCGGGGAAGCATTTCACAATAAGGATACAAGCTAACAAGCTCGCGCGGTTTTTAACTTGTAGAGTACCCTTAGGGCCAGATCCTCACAGAGCCCGAATTTTGAATTTTCCTTTGTTTGATTTTTAAAAATACTTTTTCGAAAAATGTTCAAATTCAAAGTGCTAATAAATATGAAATATCTGAGTTTTTTATTTCAGTAAATGAGAAATTCAAAAATCGGAGCCTGTGAGGATCTAGCCCTAACTGTTCTCTATTCAACAAAAAAAAATTATCCCTTCTCTATTGAGTCAGTATTAAGAAATCCTTCCCCGCGTAAACGGTAAACTCGAAAAAATTGATTTTGAGAAAAACGAAAAATAAGTATTAGAAGTCGATTGTTCCGAAAATCACCTGATTTATATATCAATGTTCAAGACGGGCTATAAATGTGTGATCTTAATATTAAGTGTTGATAGTCTCTTAGTGATTAGAATTTTAAAAAAACTTTACGAAATGATGATGCAAAGAGAAAGCAGCCTAAAAAGTCGAAAAACCTTGAAAAAACACCATGAAAATTTCTCGAAAAATACGATAGTAGGAGTAAAGTTTTAGACGATAAGTTCGTCAAAATCAATTCATTTTTCGATAAAACATATATATTCTGAAAGAGGAGACTTCAGTGCATCTTCCTATGATAAAACTTCAATTTCGACTCATCTCCGAAAAATTGGATGTTCTGAGGGGGGCCCTTAAAGCATTACTAGTAGCTACATTGATATTTAGTCTTTCGAAACTAATCGGAGAGCAAATAGAAGAATTTCGTCGATTTCTTTCAATACTTTATACTAGCATTTTCATATACCTATGTAAGCAAAACATCTTTTTTCGAACTCGAACTAAAAGAAATATAACTTTCTCAGCATTGAAAATAAATAGATTCTCTTCAAAGCTGATGCAATGACCTATTAAAACAAACTCATTCGCTTCAAATCGTCATTTATCGATGGATTACACGAATAATCTGAAGAATATTTCAAACTCTAAATCACGTCGAATACTATCCATAGGTCGCGATGTTTCTCTTATTATAGTTGAGAATCCTTCAATGCGTTTACATTTGAACGAAAAAAATTTACATCTTAGTTTTGTTGATGATTGCTTTGTTTTTCGTTATACCAACTTATCACAGTGTATAAAATATTTTAAAAAAGCTTCTCGACGAGAATATATAATTCTTTTATTTTATGGATTTGATAAAAATAATATAGAAACTATGATCTCGCAACTCGATTGGTGTGAACAGTTGCAAGTCATTTTTATTCTCTATTCTTCTGACAATGAAGATGATATTCAATGTAAAATACATAACAACAATGACAGTAAATGTTCGAATAAAACTAGTACTAGAATCATGAAAAGTTTCTATGAATGGATACCACTGTCTACAAGTTTACAGGAGCATATTATTGAAGCAAAAAGTAGTTTAAAAGATGTCGGTCTATTCAACATATGCAATACACCAGAAAAGGCTCTGCGAGATCGACGACGAGATTTAGGCTCATTTGTTTGGACTCAAACATTCCGAGGTTTGTATCTATTAATATATTAATAGCCTGCTACTAACTTATATAATAATGTTTGTAGTGCTACTTGTGGCGATGCCACATAATTCATCAGAGGCTAAACAGCAAATGTTACGCGAATGCCGAAAATGTTATAATGGCAATGTTTCTCAAATGAAGAAAATTGCAAAATTTGAAAAAACATATCGAGCGTGCGATGCTATACGCTGGTATACTAAAGTATGTTTTCTTTCAACTTTAGTTAACAAAACATTGCGTTCAGAAAATGTACATGCTCTATATCTATTCCGCTATTTCATCTTTGATCTGTGTGAAAGTCTTGCCAAAGCACGATATTCTAACTCAACATCTATTTCTGTTTATCGTGGTACAATACTTTGTCGAGACGAAATTGAACAATTACATGTCGGCTCACTTGTCTCTACCAATGGTTTTCTTTCTTCATCACGTTTTCTTGAAGTTGCTTTGGCTTTTATAAGTTCTGCTGAAGGCGTCGATATGCAGATCAATCGAAATTGTAACAATTCTGAACAATTCGTTCTATTTAAAATCGATATTGATATAAATCAATCACCGGATGTTGTTGTTGCCGATATAAGTAGTGAAAGTCTAATACCAGACGAGAAAGAGTTTCTATTTGATCTTGGTACTACATTTATTATTACCAATATCTACTATGATGATCCAAATTATATGTGGAATAGTCAAATGACAGCTTCAAATCAAGTGGCACAACTAAATCATGAATATGATTCATATATGCGTGAGTGACTGTCTGAAACCAATGCTACAATTTTATTTGGCCGTATGCTAGCTCATCTGAGTGAATATTCCCTAGCAATAAAATATTTTCAACGTCTCTTACGTGTTTTACCTATTGAACATGAAGATCGACCCGATATACATTACCAATTGGCTCGTATGTATCGTTTTTTGGGTAAACATCAACAAGCTATTTATTATTTCCGATGTGCTAAACTATTACAACGACGTGGTTTGTCTTACAATAATTATGAATATGGTATGACATTAGCTGGTCTTGGTACTGTTTATATGGAATTGAACGATTCAAAACGAGCAGTATGTGTATTAGAACAAGCTAGTATTTGTTATAATCTTGCTTCACAAAAGTATAATACTGAAACAATGTTTCATTTTAATCGACTTAGTTATGCTTACTATCTTGAACAACAATATGAACGAGCATTACAAATGCTCAATAAAACATTGATCATTTACAAGCAGAAAATGCTAGTTGATCATCCTGGTCACGCTCAGACTTATCACAATCTGGGTTTGGTACATCGTGCAATGGGTAATAATGATGAGGCACTCGCTTCGTATCAAGACGCTCTCAGAATGCGAGAGGCTCTACTTGCAACAAATCATCCCTATGTGGCCCGTACATGTTTTCAGATCGGCTTACTTTTTGAAGACCGCAAAGATTATAATGCAGCGCTTGAATATGCTAAGAAAGCATTCAGCATTCAATAACTTAAGTTACCATCTAATAATCATGAACTCAGTCTATCAAGAGAGCTCGTTGAACGCCTTGTGACCAAAATTAATGTGACTAGGTAATCATTTTTCTTGTTTCAAAAACAACAATGAATTGTTTATATGATTTAGGAGTGAAGAATCTTGAAAGCAACATCGACTTTATTTTGTCAGAAGAACTAACACACCTTTGGCAAAAATGAATTGAAGCGATATAGTAACTAGATCAAGAGTACACTTCTACCAGATGGTACTCTCTTATTTTTCTAATGTATATTTCATGCACATAATCATATTGTTGAATTAAGCGATTACATTCAAATAAGATGTAAATATAAAAGAAAAAAAAATGAATCATAACATAGATAAATTATGTATAGCTAAATGCTAGATTGTCGCAGAATTGTGTTAAAAAAATTAATATATGTTCCTCGAAAAAAATTTCATGAGCAAAAACATTTGCCGATAGGTATATACATTCTTTATTTAGAAAAATCAATCTATTTTGATCTTATTACAAAGATGTACATATTTTGATTACTTTGCTAAATATGGTTTCACTTTATTATACTAAGTTTTATTAAACAAGAACACTAATAATAGCTTGAGCAGCAATGCCTTCTTCCCGTCCGATGAAGCCCATTTTCTCTGTCGTTGTTGCTTTTACACTAATTCGTTCGATGTTAAGAGCTAGTAATTCGCTGAGCTTTTCACGCATAATTTGTCGATAAGGAGAAATGTAAGGCTTTTCAGCAATAATCGTGATGTCAATATTAATTAATTCGCCCCCTTTTTCATGTACTATCATCAGAGCATGTTTAAGAAATACACTTGACTTGGCTCCTGTCCATTGTTTATCGTCAGGAGCGAAATGCATACCAATATCACCAGCAGCAACTGAACCAAGTAAGGCATCTACAAGAGCATGAAGTCCTACATCTCCATCTGAATTAGCTTCAATATCAAATGTTGAAGGAATTTCAACTCCACACAGCATAATTTTGTTTGAAGGACCATTTTGCGTAGGAAGAAAACGATGAACATCGAAACCCATGCCTACTCGTGTTTGTTTCGAGGTCATATTACGACTATAACTATAGAATTTATTATTATTTTTTCTTTATTATCACTGATAAAAATTAGTAAAATTTTATGTATATATTTTTCTTTTATAATACATTAGAGTTTCTATTGCAAAATTATCATCCTATTCATATGGTATTATCAAGTCGGTTACAATTATTGAACTTTTTATTGAGTTTAATTCTTACTCGTATTTTATGAATTCATAATAATCAATAAAATATAAAAAACTGAATGTGTTTACTATTACTGAATTAAAATATTTTCATAAATGTTCATTTATTTGTTTTTTTTAATGACACTTAGAAGAGAGAGAAAATATGCTCAAGTGATTCACCTCATACGATCGCGACTAAATTGGTTTTTTAAATCTATTGAAATTATTCATGAGCTCAGTCAATATTCATATGGTGTGAACGAAACAAAACAGTTGCGTTTTTTGCACATACATTTACAAGAGCATGTCATCAAGAGTATTTGCTTTTTTCAAATGCTACGAGGAGATGTCGTTTGTGATTGCGCCAGATTTTATTTATAAAGCGAATGTCACAATTATATATATAGATGCATACCTTTTTCTTTTTGTTAATGTTGACACGAATCTGATAGAAGGACGTTAAAAATAACGCCAATACTATTGAAATAGGTATCCTGTAAGTTTCTCGAGTAAGATTAATCTAGAAGAAAATACAATATTTAATCTGTTAAAGTTGTTTGATATGAAATGCATCAGTAGAGACACTTGAAACAATCCTTATAGAAGAGAAATGTACAGATAATGTGTCCGCTAACTTATTAGCATGTTGGAGATCTCGAGCAAGACCAAAAATAGCTGAACCGCTTCCACACAAAAGAGCACGTAGAGCACCTGCAGATATAATCATTTCATATGCCCTGGCAACATTAGGATAAGCAACAAATACAACAGATTCAAAATCATTAGACAGACTCGTTGCTAAGAGTTCACTAATGTTACTTGACATGTCTTTCTTGTCACTTAGACGAGAAAGAAGCCGTTCAGTACTAGTTCCAGATTGTCGATTTGGCACAGCATCAAGAAGAGCATATGCATGTGCTGTTGATACTCGGGTTCCTGGATGCACAATGACACCCCAGAATACAGGTAGTTCAAAATCTAGTGATCCGATAATATCACCACAACCGCGCATACGGACTGGTTTTTCTGCCAAAAATAGTGGTACGTCAGAGCCAAGACGAGCCGCCATTACGGTTAGTACTGATTGGTCAACTGCTTGGTTAAAATAGGCATTTAAGGCTCGTAAAACAGCAGCTGCATCACTACTTCCACCACCTAATCCTGCTTCAGCTGGTATACGCTTGTATAGATCGATTTGGATATGAAATGATTTGTCAATATTCGCAAGATAAGCTTCAGCCGCTCGATAGGCTAAATTTCGATTATCAACGGGTACATATGAATCGTTACAAGTGAGTATAATAGATGTTCTATCCGATGCAGGTTCGATGTGAATGTGCAATTCATCAGCTAACTCACCGAGTGGTACAACGAGTGAATCAAGATTATGATAACCATCAGTGCGTTCCTTTTTGTCAAATACATCCAATGTTAAATTAATTCTGCAAGGTGCACATAAAAACATGACAGCTTGAAGCTTATATTGGTTGGTGTGCTTTTCAATAATCGTTGACGATGTGAAATGAAAAAGAAACTAATCAAGCACCGCACCGCACCGCACGTGTTCTTCTTTTCTCATACTTTAATCACCAATGAAAGATACTCATATAATAGGATAATAAAAAACCAATGCCATCTATATTTTCAAATTCTCTGTTATGAGTTCGGTTTGAGTTGATTGTTTGTTAGGACTTTCTTTCTCTCATGTATATTATCAATCAAAAACTATACAATTAATGATTGTTGGAGTTCCACTAATATACCATTTTAATGTCAACATGTGATTCTTATATTATATGTGTGAAAGAAAAGTGTTGATAGTTTAAGAGACATCTTCTTTAACAAAAAATTGTATAACTAATCGGAAGTTTAGTCAGATTTCTTTTTTAACGACATTGAGCTTGACTAAAGTAGAAATTTGAGCGATAAAGGTAACAGTTAGAATGAAAAACGCTGAATACTGTTCTGCTGCTGTATAACCATGATACAACATAAATGATAGATCAATCAGATTGTGTCAAGTGAGAATCTTGTATGTGAATATTAATCAGTCTAATTAAGAGAAGCTAAAATATAAAAAGAGAATTCTTTCTTTTTTACTCTACCCATTCCATTCTTCAATGTTCTTCATGTCTGGAAAATATACAATTTTTAAAGTCTTTTATGAAACGGTTATCAATTGAATCTAACTTTCTTCAAGAGACGAAAGTGTGTGAATAAATTCACTTCTAATTATACTATTATAAAATCGTCTAAATGTGGACATTTTATTCGACAAAAGTTGATTAGAACTAACTCATCATTGTAATAAAACTGTTGTCTTATCTATTATCAATTATATATAACCAATCAACAGTTCTTTTAATTTAGGGAAATCTGTAGTATTGAAAACTATTTATTCAAAATAATCAATCTTTAATCAAAGTAATTTAAGTCAAACGGCAGTATGAAAGATATAATAACGCATTATCAACATGCTGCACCTATATGCAATTGACCATAATCAAATGAGTTATCAAAAGAAAAATAACGATTATCCAAATGAAAAAATGATTTTCAAATAATCGAGCAGCATTAATTAAGTTAGTTTTTCGAACACTCTTGAACAAGAGTCGACCATAGGAAAATGTCGACTTTTTTTGAACGAAAACTTGTCTATTTGTTAGAAACTGATATAAGTCGAGACATAATTGATAAAAAATTCACTAAACGATAATAACCCAGTACATTGAATAATGCATTTCATAGTTTATGTTTGTTTTGAAGTTGTAATTGCATTTCTAAACATAGAGCAAGCTCTTTAAGTCAAGATAAACAGCAAAGAAATGGCAAGATAAGTTTAATATTTTAGAAAGAAGTGAAGAGTTGTTATCTCTTATTGTTGAAAGTCATTCATCGACTTATTCTATTAGTATCATTTTTGAAAGAACTGCTATGGTCAGTTGAGAAAGTTGGACCAATGATCGAATCTAATCGTATAATATTTGTACGACAATATACAATTTCGAGAATCAGTATTTTTTTTCTAGTTTAAGAATAGATTTTAATCGAATAAATAAAAAAAAAGTCAAATATATGCAAGGCATCCATCAGTGGCGTATCCGGTAACGAAGCGAGCACGGAGCTATTTGAACGCATTGACGATTGACACACTTGGCACTGGCACAAAGTGGATATCTCCATCTGGGGCATCGAGTTACACAGTAATTAGGGTGAAAGCATAGACCACAACCCTTAGGAGTGTTCTTGATCTTCTGTGAGCAAGGACTGATTATGTGACAGCGTCCATCTAGACACACTGCTTGAGTACAGAACGGGAAATAACCATCTAGACAACGTGCGCATGCTATCGTATGCATGCATTGACTGGCATTGGTGCATTGGCACACTGAACACGGTCCAATAGACTTACATGCACCGTTAACACATTCGGCCGACGCACAAAGAGGTCCACAACCAGAAGAACATGACGAACGACAGAGATTTGATGAAATACATCCGCCAGGCGAACACGATGGTTTAGCCGGATGAGTGTTTGCAAGTGTACATCCAATGATAAGTGCCACACAAAAGCTAAGTACAGAACTTTTTACGAGCATTAAAATAATTTAAGACACTTTTTATATAAAATAGAATAATGGAGAGATAACTGCTGTATTTATATAAGTCGCTCTATAGATAGATAAAGTTACACCCATTAATATATCATGCTTCTTTCTTTTTTTTTACGTCAAACATCAAATAATAGATGCATATTTTTCGTCAGCAATGAACCGTGGCTCACTGAAAGAAATATCACGCGCTTTCTTTTTGTGCGCCAAACAATACATAATTTTCATTTGTGAAAATTTCTTTTGCTATTGAGTTTGTTCTTGAATGACATTATCTCTAGCAACCGAAATATTGCTTCGGTTTTTATAGAGAATCTCACTGTGTATTTGTTCTAAAGTAAAGTTGAGCCTGAATGACAATCTTTAGCTGAAATATTAAAGACATAAAGAGACTACTAGTTTGATAGAATACTCGTTAGAATACTACATTATTTGTTTTTATTTTTAGCACTCTTTAGCCCTTTGATTATGTCAGTCTTAAAAAGAAAATTGAGCTTTGGAATCACAGATACCAATAGTAAACTAAACTAAATCAAATAAGAAAAAAAAACAAAGAAATATAAAAAGAAAGAACAGAAGCGTGAATCAACAAATACGGTATGAGTAAACACAAAGAACAATACAATCATTGTGGAGATATCATGTTTTAAAGAGACTAGTAATACGTATATGTATATGTATTTTTATTTTCTTCCTCTTTTTTCCTTGTCACTTTAGGTTCGAACCACAATCATCAATCCACATTGTTTTCTCTTATCTTTTCTGAGTCTCCTTTCTGATTCTTCGCGTCTCTACTCTCTCCTTGTTATTTTTCTCTTCTTTTTTTTGTCATTGTGACATAGAATCAACAGTCTAGAAAATTTCTGGAAGTAAAGCGAAGCAGAAAAATTTTTCTTCGTTATATACTACTACGAAATCTGAAGTCTCACGTGTTATCATTCATCTAAATACTTGTCCTGGTCTTATATCCATGTGTGGCACAAATCTTTTTGATCTGTGAAGACAGGGAATCCATCCCTAGACTTCATCAATGTCTTTGCATATTTTTCTCAATAGATGAAACAATAATCATCCAATGATTTTTTTATTGTACAAAGTCAAAAAGATGAAGTCGTCCCAATATTGATAACGATAAACTTGTTTTATCAGGATACAATATAATTAATTAAGCTCCATCTGCTAAACAGTGGTGAAAAAGAGTAAAGCTTAAAATAACTAAAGTATTTGAATGAAGAAATTCACTGCATCGCATAATCACCAAAACTGACCTAAGGTAAGGGGTTTGGGTGAAGAACTGCTTGTGCCGAGAAAATGGTACACCAATAAAGTGTTCATCGTAATGCTCAACATTAAGTATCATTATGAATGTTTAGTAAAATCTTCCCATTGTTTAGAATTTTTGATCATGAGAGAAATCTGTAATCGCCTGAAACATTTACCACAATCCATATAATTTTTACTTGATTTGGATCCATTATCTGCAGTCATTTTTATTATTTCGTCGCAAATGAAAGGATCATATTTTGGTAGACTTTCAAAAAGTTTAAAAAATGGACGGTAACATTCGATCACAATTTTTCGGCTTAATCATCCGTGCATTCATTCCGATAGTTTCTCATCGTTAAGATAATATCCTTGCTCTCAGCAGCGATATATGTACAATTAAATTACATGTATGTGTGAATAAAAGTGTCTGAACGATGAAGAAGACTTTCTCTTCCCGTCATTTCATGATTTCTGATCAAGAAACTGCAATCATATTCTATCGGTTATTCGCACAAAGAACCACATGCGACAGTTTTTCCTGTTTGAAAATCAATTCCGGAATTAGAATTAGTTATTTAACAACTTAAATCGAAATTGACGATAATACTAGAGTTGAATGTTTCTGTCTCGTACAAAGAGACACTATGCAGCTACAATAGTGGCATATATGTGTAATCAATATTCGTTGAAATAAAACAATATATTAACAAGATTTTGAATAAATTTTCTGAATCAAGAACTGCAATTCTATTCTGAATCAATGGAAATTAATAAACTAACAAAAAAAACAATGAACAATCAATAGGTTTACTATTAATTTCCTTGAGAACTCAACTCGTATGCATCATTGTGCTCAACAGGGATAAAGTATATAAAAGAACTCAATTTGTGTTCAAATGATTTCATTGAAAGATCAAACTGTTCTTTATTAATGTGATGTTGTGGATATATTTTTGTCACCAATAACGATCCATAGCTAGAAGATTTTCATCAGATAGTGGTAATGTGTCACGATATTACATTTACATGTATCACAATAACTCATTTAGCCAGCAAATCATCAACAACAGTATTGTTCATATGCCTTGTTCATTCGAAATTTTATTCACTTAATCTAACCACGATGTTAATTGCAATGAATCATGTATTTTTTAATGCTAGGATAGAAGTTTGCGTCATAGATAAATAATTATGAAAATAGTTATCTCAAGAAGGAACTGTTCATTACCTGTAAAATTCAAGATATTCTAAAAATCATACTACACATCTAAGAGGGAAAGCAGCAGATCAACATATCATCGATCGATATTTTTTTGGGCCTCTTATGAAATGGTGTGAGTGGATGTAGATATGAGTGTGGGTGTTACTAATGCAACTTCTCAACTTACACCAAAGCTCACACCCTCACCGGGAAGATAGGAGCAAGAAGGAAGACGAGTGAGGTGGACGGAGAACCAAGGCGAAGCAATGGTTTAGGGACAGAGACATTAAAATGAAAGATGTAACATAGATGTAATATTAAGAAAGGGATGATATAGGAGGCACTAACACGAAAAAGAAGAGAGTGGAAACCCTTATAGTAAAAGTGCAGGCGCAGTAGTAATATCTAGGTACGGACAGAAGAACTAATTGATAGAGAAGAAAGAGGCACTGATAAAAAGAAGTAAAACACAAATTAAAGAAAATGAAAGACAGAGCTACAAACAAGATATAGGGTGTGGATATGTCTGATGTTTCGTGAGAGTGCTTGTGTATATATATCTTCATACGTAACGCTAAGAAAACACTTCTCTACACAAATAAATATAATATTTTATTTTATCTTAATAGCTTTCAAAAAACGTACATTTTATTGATTTCTATTTGTCACGTAAACATTACGTATAATTCTTAATGAGAGATCTCAAACTAAGTAGGCAAAACATTTCAACCCAACTATATCTCTCAATAATAGAATAATATTATATACTAGTGAGGATTAGCAAATTTTGATCCATTGTAATGATAAGAAAATCGACAATACCTGCAGCATAATTATTTTGCTCCATAAGGTGAGTTTGAAATAAGCAATCAATGATACAAAAGTGGTTTTCGTTTAAAAATGAACAGTAGAAAGTGATGATACATATTATTATGTATAATCACCAGCTGATGATATCCTAAACTTTTTGAAATGCATTTTTATTTTTCAACTTCGGTTATCTAAACGTTTCTTTTCAGAATTAAATTTTCTATTGAATGATTTATTCACTGGCTATCTAATGATATAAAAACTCTATCGTAAATGAATGATTCTGTCAATCTTAAAAATTTCAACAAAGTTAAGGAAAATGATAGAGCAATGAATTTAATTAGATCAAATTATTTTTCAAAAGTTCCCATCCTTTTTAGATTACAAAAATTTTTTAAAAGATTAGCAATTCATTGAATTATTTTGATTATTGATCACACAATATAGGCGATTTATTAGAATATTAAACCAGTATCTATTAATGATAGGAAAGTTTTACTATCAAATCAATGATCAAATAAAAAATGAAGTGCATCTCATCCATTGATTGGACAAACGTACGAATCCGTAATTTATCATGAATGCTAGCATAATTCCGTGAACACAATCGTCAGAATTTCAAATATATAAGGAGAAATGATAGTAATAAAAATATACTCATTTGTTTATGTTTGACATAGATTTCAATCTTCATCACAAATTTCAGTGAAAATTTACAATATCTTTATAATTGAGTATATGGTAAAGAATGACTCATCACATAGTTTAACATATGCCGATGAGTCAGTTAGTTATCGTATACCAACATTGATTCGAAGGTTATCGATGCTATTTTAGTGGCAAACAGTTAACAAATAATATTTTTACAAAATGTGAAAATTCCGATTCTACAATTTCTATCATCAAATTTCGTTGTCAACCGTGACAAATAATGTTAGAGGCAATTATTTTACTATCACTTGAATTAAATACTTACTACGTAAAAACAAATACGGCGTCATCGATATTTGAAAGTGTCAATTAAGAAAATTGGTGTGTTACTCCAGATTGAAAAAATTCGACGATGTAAATGTCTGAAACAGAAGGTAAATCAAGAGCTTAATAAAGTCAGGTTTTTTCTTACTATCGTTTTGTAGTACAAAGATTTCTTGTACTCAAAAGTATCCTTATCAAAAACAATCATATGCTTAGATTGAATAAACTATAATATTTTAAAATTCTGATATATTTCATCTAGTGAAAAAAATATGTTTTTACCAAATTTGACTTCAAATGGCAATAGTATAGTAAAAAAAATATTGTGTCATTTTTTTTTTTACTTTAAATAGAATGATAATTTGTTGATAACAATAACACTAAAATCATGAAATAAAAAGAAGAATTTCGATTAAAACTAAAAAAATATTTCAAAAGAGTAAATTTGAATTTGATCATTAATGAAAATTATTTTCTATCATAACTGGTCGATATCAGTCTATCAAAATCAAAAATCATGTTATTCGGTATTTTCTCTGTTGAATAAATGTTTCATTTTTATTCAATGTAGGTCTTCCATGTTGCGCTAATGAATAGATATCTTTTGAACAAATCTCATTTTAAATTATAAATAAAACTATTATTTCTCTTCTCAAGAAATGATCTTAGAAAATGATTTTTAAATTATTATTGACGAATCAATTGATAATGTTGGTAATAGGAAAAAACAATTAAAACATCCGTATTGAGCTTATACTGTGATTTCATAATCTTAAAAAAAAACAATATAAATAAATTTGTTTTTAGACGATCATCATCTGATCCATATTGTGGATGTTAAAATCAATTTTTTATACGCTCACATACAAGCAGCACTTATTACTTTCTAGTTTACAGTTTTTTTTCCTGAAAATAAAAAGGTATAACAGATGTAGTTTTATAAAAGAAAATTCTTTTTCATTTCTTGTTGAAAACTTTTTATTAATTTGTACATACATGTAATGTGTGTTATTTAATTTTAGTTTTTCATTTTATTATATTATAGAAGTATAGAAAAGAATAAATAGTCAAGTGAATTTATTTATTTTTGATGATAAGAAGACATTTAACAGGTATTTTTATCTGTACTAGTATTGTTATCTTCATTCTTCTTTTATTAACCAAACATCAAACGGATACAATGACAATGAAATTTTCAATTGCAAATTTATGGAATTCAACTCCTATTACTAATCATCGACCAGTTCAAATAACGCTTTCATCTACTAATGATGACGATCATCTTCTTATTGAAATTGATGCACCATTCTTTAATGATCCTGCTCCTTCATCATCATCAACATCACCTGGTCCATATCCTGAACTATGGAATTATGAAGTAGTTGAACTTTTTTTCTTAGCATCATCAACAAATCATTATCTTGAACTTGAGTTTTCTCCACATGGTCATTATCTTGTTCTTCTATTAATTGATCGTCGAAAAGAATTAAAACAAATGTTATCGTTACCTTATTATAAAGTTGAACATCCTTCATCTGATCGATGGATTGGTCGAGCACATATTCCACGTTCTTTTTTTCCAGCTCATGTTGATCGATTTAATGCTTATGCTATTCATGGTCAAAATGATAAACGTACATATGAAGCACTTTATCCTGCAACAATTGATAGTGAAAAACCTGATTTCCATCGACTTGAATTTTTTCAAATATTAAATTTTAATTCATTATTAAATGTAGGCGAGCAAGATGGTGATCATTGGAATACGAACTAATGTGTCTAATGCAAATGTACTTGTCACATAAAGAGAAAAAAAAATTGAAGTTGTTGAAGTGTGCGAACGAACATTGATTGCATATTAAAACATTGATCATATTTACTTGAATGTCAAACTTTTGAGTTTAACCGATGTAAAGAGAAAAAGAAAATAAATCGATAGAAATTAGATTCTTTTTTTTGCATTTTTCTTTTATAAAACAATACTTGGCATAAGTAAAAAAATGCCACCAAAGTAAGTAGAATTGAAAGATAAATTGAATTTTTTTTTTGAATGAGCTTAAATAAGGTTTTGTTTTCATTTATGATAAATACTAGGGAAATCTTGAATTAAAAGCTTTCTATGACAATCTGCAACATAGTTTTATTCATCATCTATCTTGAATAATAGTTGATAAACATTTTTTTTTCAAAGCTTATTCATAATAAATAAACTTTCCATTAAAATTTTTTTAATGAACATATCAGAATAGTTTTATTTAAAAAAGATCATGTAAACATGTTCTGGTTGAGTATTATAATGAATTGTTCATAATAAATAGACTATTCTTTTCTTTTCTGACATTTTCATGATGAATAGATTTTTAATTTAACGGATGTTGTTTTTCCCTGCAGATTTACATTTTAATCTGTAAAATGCATTAAAATCATCATTCTTTAGAAATCAACAGCTACGTAAAAGTTATTCTAAGCGTTCATCATCATCTGTTGTCAACGATGAATCCAGTGATGAAAAAGGTGATTATAAATGTTCAAATTTCAAATACAAGTGCAAAAAAAAAGTCGTTTCTTTGATTGATTCACATTTTCATTCTCTTTCATTCTCTTTTGTTGACCTACTTGAAATAAAAAATTGGAATCATTTAACACAAACAAAATCATTTTTCACTCACCTTGTTATAGACGTTGTTAACGACGTGAAATTTTGTCACTATTCTCGTCGTCCATACAAACTTTTTTGTTTGCACTTTTTTTTTTCTTCTATTTTCTCTTCATCATTTTGCTTGCAACTTAATAACACATTTTCATTTTAAAGTTTTCTTTGACAATTTTCTTTGATTCAAGTTTCCCCCCTATTATTTGAATAATTTTCTTTACAAAACTCATTATGAAATGACAACCAAAGGAGCGCGTATCAAATCAACAACAAATACTGCTCCAAATAGTACTGTTAAAAAGACAGATACAGGTATTAATTATTGATTAAAGCACAAAAGAAAAAACTAAACTAAATTAAATTTTTTTCTTTATTCATTATAAAATAGAAAAACTATTTGATTCTTTTCTTTCTATTTTTATTTTAAATTAACTAGTCGAACCATATCATTGCAAAGGAAAATTTTTGGAAGATTTCGAAGCTTTATGTCGACAAGCACAAATCACATATATTGTTCCGATTGTACTACGACCGCATCCACCAGGAACTCCAGTAGTACCATCAGCTATAGCTGATATTAAAGATAAAGCAGCACCTAAAACAGCTAAAGGTGCAGCAAGTAAAGAACGTGAACATACTGCTGTACAACAACCAAGTGAAGCTGATAGTGGAGAAACTTCTCATGGTTAATAGATTAAATAAATAAATATTTTTCTAAAAAAAACAAAATGCCTTTTATTCTTCTCTTATAGAAGATTCTCTACCAAAAACATATTCACTTCGTGATAATCTTGAATATTTTAAACCAAAAATTCAAGTTGAAATGGACAATCCAGAAAAACAAGATACTCTTACAGAAATTCTTATTCGTGCATGGAAAATTGATCGTACAACATTAGATATATTTGCTCAATCATTTCCTACACTTGAACGTTTAGCTACTCTTCATTTTTGGCATACAGGTTTAACTGATGATACACTTAAACAATTAGCTTCTATTCTACCAAAATGTCCTAGTATTCGTACACTTATACTTGATGCTAATCCAATACCATTTGAACATTATGATGTACTTTTAACTGATGAAAATTCCCCAATTATAAATTTATCTCTTCGACATTGTCAAATAACAGAACGTGGTGCTTTTTTAATAGCTCAAGGTTTAGGAACAGAACGTCGACAAAATAAAAAAATACAAACACTTAATTTAGCTTATAATTCATTAGGTGATAATGGTGCTGAACATATTGCACGAAGTTTAAAATTTAATCGTACTTTACTTGTATTAAATTTAAGTTCAAATGATATCAGCGATCCTGGTGCACAAAAATTTGCTGAAGTTTTAAGTAAATTTCCTTTAACAGAAGATGAATTAGTTTATCGAAGAAAACTATTACTACATTCATCAATATCTGAAAGTGTCCCAAGTCTTCCTTCAGGTAGACGACATTTTGTTGATCGACGTGCTTCAGCAGCTTCAAGTCCAACAGGTATTGGAAGAAAAAAATCTGGAGTTACTTCAACAACAGTACCATCAAAAGGAAAAGGTGGTGCTGGTGCTACTGCAGGAAAAGTTTGTTTGATTGAAATATTTAGTTCATGATTTGATTTGAGATTTTCTTTTTTTGAATAGCCTGAGACAAAAGAAACTGCTAAACCAGCAAAAAAAGATGATAAAGCAGCTAAAAAAGGTGCTACAATTGCTGAAAGCAAAACTGCTAAAGGTGCTGCTGGTAAACAAAGTACAGAAAAATTGGCAAAAACAACTACTAATCCAAAAAGTTCTGGTATAGCACCTGGAAATCGTTCAGCAACACAAAGTGAACCTGATGTAAGTTATTTTCTAGCTTTAGTTTTATATTAACTTTTGAATGTTCATAAAAATTCATTATTAGAATGACGAAAAGGTTTGTTTTTTTTTTGAATATCTTCACTAATTTTTTTTTTTCTATACACAGATTGATATTCATATATATATATATATATATATATATATATGAGTGATTCTAGTGTCCTATTGTACCGTTTTTTTTACAAAAACGATCGAAAAAAAAAGTAAACGGCTGCACTTTAAAGTATCACAGTCTGATAGAGAATACTTTGAAGCATAAGAATAAGTGCTTTTGCAAACTACCAGTTTTTTTTGTTTTGTCTGATTTAGAGACCAAAAGTTTCCTAGGAACTCATTAGGGACTCTTTTATCTTATTTGAGTGAAAAATGATTGCATCCAGGGATTAATATGATCTTATAGGTTTCCAAACATTTTCTTTCGATTTACACGCCCAGAAGAAGTACAAAAATAATCAATTTTAGACAATTTTTTTTTCAAATTTTCAGTCAGATAGGAAGGTGGTACAATTAGAGAATGGATGCATTTCATCGTATGTTTTCTAATAATTTTCTTCAAAAATGAGTTGTGCCCATCGACTGGCGTTTGTGGTAAAAAACTCAGCTTTTAAGTCCTTCTAGTTTGGTCCAAAGATGAGCAAAATGGTTTCCACAAACAAGGAAAAAGGCATGCTTTTGTATCTTTAACTTTCTATAATTAGAAATAAGCTAGAACCTTGATATTTACAACATATGTTGTGTCCACCGACTAACATTTGTGGTAAAAAAATCAGTTCTTAACTGTTTGTGATTTGGTCAAGACATTGGCAAAAGGGGGTGGGACATTCTTTTTTATGCTATCTGGAACCACTGGTAAAAGTTCAATTTTTTACGAAACGAAAATAGCTGAATTAAAAATAAGGTTATGAATAGATAGAGCATTCAAAATGTTATAAGAAACCTAATAAGTCGTTATTTACTTTTTCCTTTTTCAACTAAAAAAAGCCTGAAGAAAGACAAGAAGTATGTAAGGAACCATCAAAAAAACACATGGAACAGAGGAAAAAGCGACCTTGTTATGAACACCATTTGTAAACGATAATAGGTAGAAAGCTGATTTTAGCAGTAGAGATAGAGCATGAGTAATATATGTTTCGGTATAAATTTTAATCAGATTGATCAAACAGAAAGTGAGAAATAAAAGAGGACCATTTTTGGGAATCAAATGGTACAATAGACGCCAGAATCACTCATATATACACACATTAGTTATTTCACAAATATGATTTATTCATTTTTATTTCAGTTTATTATTAATGATGGCATACCATTACTTGATCATAATGCTGAGTTATTAAATAATGATCTTGTTTTACCAGGCAATAGATGTTTACTTAGTTTGAATTTATCAAGTAAGAAAATTTTGTTTCATTTTTTTTTGAAAACAAAAATAATTAAATGTACATTTTTATAATTAAATAGAAAATCGAATAACTGATACTGGTGTACAATATATTCTTAAAGCCATTCAATATCAAGAAATGTTTATAAAATTGAATATTTCATCACGAAATTTATCATCAACTGCAACACCTTCTGTGCCTAATCAAGGTCTTCTTCGACTTGAACTACAAGTAAATTAAATCGATTTCATGAAGATATACAAAAACATTTCGATTGTTTGTTATTTTTAGAGAAATGATTTTATTATTAGTGAATGTGAAGCATATGACAAAGTTCAAACATTATTAAAAAATCGTCGTGAACCTATTTTTAAAAACAAAGACAATCAAGATGAATCAGCAACTGGTGGAAGAGACACGGTCGGAACTCCACATGCAAAATCACGCCAAGGTTTGAGTTAGTTGCACATATAAATACTTACATCTACTATTTAAAAAAAGGATCTATAAAAGTAAAAAAAGAATATGGTAACAAATAATAACCTTCACAGATATCACGAATGAATGAGACACAAAGTTTTCTTGTTGGTTTGTTTCCGTTCACTTAATGATTCTAAGTCTTCTTTTTTGGTTCTTACATTATTACTTATTTGTATTGTTTTTTTTTTTGTAGGGGTGAGGCATTGAACAAACGCTTGGGCGACCAGCTTTCGTGATAATCTCAAAAAATTCTTTCAATCTCGATTTGAGGACTATCACAAGAACTGGCCACAAATTCAATTTATTAAACAAGCGTTTCATCTTCTACACTTACTTTTTCACAAAACTTCATCTGTTGTTCGTCGTCGCATTTCGTTTATCACTATTCTCTCTGTCTTTCTCATGATATATTTATTCTTCACCACACACATACAAAGTAAAAGAGAGTCTTATCTTAAGTGCACAACAGCCTCTTTCGTCTTTCTCTCTTTCTCTATCCCTCTGTATATGATGTCGATGACAGTCAGCCTCTTCTTTCTCGTCGTTTAGCCTTCGTCTTTTTTTTTTTTACTCATAGATACTTACAAAATGAAAAAAGTGTATGTGTATGTGACTGTGGGTTTTCAAGATGAAAACGAATCGAATACTTGTTTCATGTATGAGAAATATTTGATTCTTTCTGAGAGAAAAAAAAAAGAAAACGACGTGCAATGTAGGTATGCTGTTAAGATGAAAAAAAAAAGAAAAATGATAATTCATGATGATAACAACCATTACCAACACAGGTGATCTATTTACTGACATATATATATATATATATGTATGGGTACAACTGGGTTGATAAAAAAAGAGAATTATGTCATAAAATTTATAAGTCTCTTTTATAAACTCAATTCAAACAACAAACACAACTTATGTTAAAGAAAAAAGCAAAAGAATTTATTTTTATTGTATTTGTTATTAAGAAAAAAAATCACTTGAACTAAATCAGATAAGCAGATATGAGGTCTTATTTGTTTAAATACTAATATATTTAGATCGACCCAATGTTGTAAATTGAAGATTACTAAAGAGATAACAGACGAAAAATTATATTCCTTAATATAACATAATACATTAACTCTTAAGTTGCCGATAAAGTATTTACGCGTCATTAGTTTTATTATTGCGTGAAAAAATGATGAGCATTTATAATTCAAAATTTTAGAAGCATTTTTGTAAAACCAAATGTCAAGTACGAGACACTTTTCATATCATCATTTTGTTAAGGTTCATGCTAGACTACTGAGGTAAGCAACGAAAGTATGCAGTAGTGTACAGTCAGTCATTGTCTTTTACGTATGTTTATCTTTTGTCGGTAACCAAAGGGTTAAATAGAACAAATAGATCTTATCTTTTCTTTTTATGTAAAACTCTTTAATATGAAAAAAGAAGGTGCATTACGAACAACTTCTGTGTTTTTTTTTTCTTCAATTTTGTTTGACAGACAAGATAAGATTTTTATTGAGCATAAATCGATGAGAATTTTATTCGACGAAAAACGTTTCTTATTTTTATTTTCTTTCTTAATAAAAGATAACATTTTATCAAGACATTTGTTTGTCGTCATCTGTTTATCATTTGATAATTTTCTTTTTCGAATAAAACTATTATTATTATTAGTAATATTAGTAATATTAGTATTATTTTAATTTTTCATAATAGAAAAAAGAGTCAATTTCAAGATAAAATGTAACATTTAGTTTTGATTTCATTGTGTATCATAGAAATTTTTCAGTAGAAATTGTTTGCTGTTTCTCGTTGTCATCAATTAATTGTGTGATCATATTTGTGCCTATTCCACATGTTATTATATTATCAGCGATAAGAGATATCATTTCATCGCTTGGAGTTGCTGCTAATGATTTTTTACTTGTATTATGAGCAAGAATACGAACAAGTACACGACTTTAAAGAATAAAATGATGAGGAAATTCATAGATCAAAACATTATTTATATCAATTGTCTTTTTAATTGACTAATCTGCCATATTTTGAACATCTTGATTAGATGTATTTTGAACAGCAATATAATTACCCATACGAGCAATATAGTTTATTTCGATACGTCCTAGGAAACAAAAAATAAATCATCTTACATATGAAAAATATTTTTTCTTTTTGCAAAGAAAAAAAAAAAGAATCGACTCAAAATCATGATAATTTCATGAAAATAGAGTTGATGTTATAACATGAATACGAAAGAATTTACTTTGAGCACTTCTTTGTGTTTGTAATTTGGGTATTCGAATACTTTCTGACATTTGATTGATTGATGACTGAACAGAAAAAATAACTTTTTCGAATTGACTACATGGTCTTTTACAAACATCATTATGTTGATTTATACTTCGTTGAAATTGCAACTTTTGATATGAACACTTTGAGGCTTCATCAGCCGAACTATCATCATCGGAATTATATTGCTTTGATTTGTATGTCTAAGTTAAATTTGAATGTGATGCAATAGAAGTTTGACCAGGTCAAGATGGATTTGATTGGATCGGTACGTCATTAAAAGGTGAAGCAAGAAGTTCATTAGATAACTTCACTTGATGAAGATTAATAAGATGAAATCCATCTGTATGATTAATTAAATCGATTATTTCAAGACTTGTACCAAGTAGCAAGATAATTTCATCTTCTTGTTTGAAATATGAATGACGATTAATGTTTTTGCCTGTTGTTGTACCTTCAATACAAAACAAAGTTTCAACATTTAATTTATCAATAAATTGAGACTTTTGTAGAATCTTTCAAGAACGTGTACATGAACTGAAGGACCATCATATTTCATTTTCACCTTTGGGATAAAGTTCAGTTAAATCTTCTTTGACACCACACCATAATTGACCTTTGACTAAACAAAAACAAAAAAAAAAGTTATTAAATTAATTTTAAATTATTCAAGACTATTAAACTTAATTTCAAAAGTTGGAGAAACTATTGATGAATGATAAACTTTGATATCACTTACGCGGAATGTCAAAGAGTACTGTAAGAAAAAGTTGAAGATATTTAAACCAAAGTTTGAGCATTTGACGTTCAGATGTTCTCAATGTTCGATTTAATAGAGCATAAAGACTTCGATTTGATTCTTTTTATTCCATAGTATAAAGATGAATGAAAGCTGATTTATCTTGGGTGAGTCTATCTGCTGGTTGTCGAGAATTTTTCTTTACAATAAGAACATTCTCTTTCAATTCATCGAAAATTTCAAAAAGAGGCTCACATGCTTTTTCAAGAGAAAGCAATGGCTCTTTTTCATATCCTTTGATTGGTTTAAGAAACTGTTTGGGTTCGTGAGCAGTTGAATATGAAGCCAAACGAGAATTGACTTGCAGCATTACAAAGAAAAAAAACGAATTTGATATACAATCACCAATCGAATATACAGAACATTCTATAGAACGGCTTTATTTGAAGTATAAAATTGAAGAAAAAGAAATGGTGCTTCTTTTTATAAAATGCCAGGAGGGAATTAAGTCAATATTGAAAAGCAAACAAATCACTACTGTTGCATTTGTTAGACGTATGAAGTATTTCTTTTCAATAGGCTGCTTGTGTAAACAAAAGAATTTCTTCAAAATCGATTATATACTCTACTTGCAGGACATCACATCGGTCGTAAGTAGAAATATATTGAACAAAAATTTGGACTTTTGTCGAGATCAAAACCATGAGAAGGAGGTATTGTCGAGATCGACACTAAGACTACAAGGGAAAAAAAATTTGCTCGAGTCAAAAATAAAAATTATAGTTAAATGCTCTATGGCTTTAAGCGATTCATCTTATGAATCATATCAATCAAAACATACTGTTTGAGAAGAGATGACAAAAAAAAGTACTATTTATTGACTACATAAATAAAAAAAACAGCATTTAAATGCAGTTTTTGATATTAATCAAATAAATTCTAAAATATTTTTTCTTTAGACTAGAGATCAAATGAGATTTATCCGAACCATTGAAAAAAGATGACATAGAAACTGAGACTAAAAATCATTTAGTATTTTATATCTCTAGTTATAGATGAAAGGATTTCAATCTTGTACATTTAGATATGAACGGTAGAAGAGTAAATTTGAAAGTATATTTTTAAATAAATCATTAAGATGATGAAAATTAATTTTTAATTTTGTTTGAATATCAAAGATTTTTCAAAAAGGACACAAGAATAATAAGGAACAAATAAAGCAGTATTCGTTTGAAATTTTTGCTTTTAACTTACAACGAAATCTGATCCTTCTTGTTCTATATATCAATATTTAATAATTTTTTTTTATCTGAAATAATCTTTTTTTTTTTGCTTTTTTGACTAACCGTATTAAAACTTCAAATAGTATTAGTTGATTACCAATAAAAATTGTCGATTGAAAGAGGATCTTATTGGAACAAGTTTAATCTTTGAATAACGTAATATACTGTTCTATATACTAATATTAGTCATTCGTACTATAAAATTTATTTTTACCTTAAATGGAGTGAAATTACAACCAACTCTGTCTTTGCTTTTTAACAAGCTTGACATTTTTTGTTAGTGTCTATAACAGTCTATTGATATCAACAATAAAATTATTCTCTCTATACAAATGATGAAATATATCAATGGTTGTCAAAGCTGTTCACTTGTCTCTAATACAACATTATAGATTTTTACTTACTCCAAAATTTTAATTGTTATGAAGGTTTCGATTCGATTATCTCACAGTTCATGATGTCTAATCTATCTGTAAGTATGATCAACCTTTAATATGGTTTTGTGTTTGATCTTTTTTGGAAAATAATAAAACGAAAACATTTTGCAACGATTGAAAATTATTTACTCAAATTAAAAGAAAACTGTATCATTAGTTTATCGTTCATATTAGCAGAAGATTTCGATTTTGCAATTATTAATAAAACCATAAAATGCACATTTCAGTTGAAATTATGTAAAACAGTTCACAAAAAAAAAATACACTTCACAGACAAAACTTCACGGTGTGAGAAAAAGAAGTGTTTTTTTAAGACTCAGTCATTCGTGTGTAACCTTTATAAAGAATTTGCAGAACGTAAAAAACAACTTATGTTCTATATATCATTATAGTAAATTTCATTTTATAAGAACGTGATAAGAATCAAATTATCCCTTGTGTATATGAACCTATTTAATTAAAAAAATGGGTCCAACAAAATAAATCGTAGCATTGGACAGAGTATATTCAATAGTATCATTCAGTGTCAGAGACTTCCATTGAGAACAAAGAGTGATTCGTGTTTAACAAGTTGATTATAATTCAAAATACTTCGACCATCTTTAAGCACTTATTAGTGATTAAAACAATAGTAAAACGCCTTTCAAGTCGCTCATGGAAGCTGAAGAAGTCAAATTACAAGTCCTTACTAGCTACTTAGAACGCATATATTAGACAGCAGCTGATATGTGCTTAAATATAATGAAATTATAAAGTGCTTTTCAACTGTATAGGACTTAAGCGGCTGAAAAGTGCTGAATTTTGTTACATTTAAGCACTTATCAGCTGCTGTTCAATATAGGAGTTCTAAGCAACTGGTAAGGACTTTCAATATGACGTTTCTAGCTGCCACAAACAACTTGAAAGAGCTTTTACTACTGTTTTGATCACTGATAAGCGCCTAAAAATGTTTGAAGCACTTTTAAGTGGTTTAAAATGTGCATTTACAAGGTCTTTCTAAGCGAAAATATAAGCTAATCTAAGCCGCTTATCAATAGCTTACAATAGAAAAAATTTTCACATGGCCATGCAGTACACTAAGCTTAACTACTCGATCTACTATTGAAATGATAGTTACTCTTCGATCAAGTAGAAAACTACTGAAGTTAGATTTACCGATACTTCAACATTTTTTTTCAAACTAATATATATGTTGTATGTTTTTTCGGTAATGTTTGCACTGATTATAATCACATCTAAGCTTATTTTTTGATATCATACGTTTTTTTTCAACAAATTCAATAATTTCAATGAATCTTAACTTGATCAAAAATTTTTTATAAATAAAAATTGGAATCTTATTGGACATACTGTTTTTTTTAAAATTTATTTTGCTCTTGTGAGACTTAGATGTAGACATTTTATATAATAAATCTAAATTTATTCATATTTAAACATGAATTATTTGTTTACGACCATATGTTACAATATTATTATTTGTGAATATTTGCTAGATCAAATACATTAATTGACGACATGAAGAATGGCACTGGAGAAAGAAAAAGAAATAAATACTTTGCATGTAGCACAGTGGGTAATATGATGTGAATGATGTGCTACAGATTTCAATTCTGTGCGAAGGGTTTTAACTCTTTGCTGTTATATTGGTATTTTTTCGGCTAAATTTTTTTTGCTTGAATGTAGAGGAAACCTCTGGAGATTTTAACACAGTGACAGATTTATTTCAATATGCTACTTCCAAATGTGGAATTTTTATCATATGAGAACTTATTTTTCAGAAACTCCGTTGCGGTGGTGTTTTTTCATTTTCTGTGAACTTTAAATCAAAACAAGTAATTTAATTGAAAACTTCAGACAAATCGAAAATATCCCTTCTTTAATAATTATTATTGTAATGTTTTAGAATCGACCACGAAAAATGTGTCGTATTATGAATGTGTTGCAATCTATTTGCTAACTATTCATTTATTGGTTTGATTTGCGCTTACAGTTACATGCAACCAACTCAACCGAACATAATGCACTTGTATACTTTCGTATGTCTTTTTTTTTCTAGCTGATTTCTCGATTATGTATTGATGAAGAACATGCCGACAGATCGATCAATGATTGAAATAAGGCTACCTTGAATCTTAGGCATAGATATCACTAATTCGAATGAAACTAAAAAAATAGTAATTATTTTCTTCTGTAGCAAAAATGATAAATTTATTGAAGACAGGATTCAAACCACGTTTTCAAAATATGTTGCAATGAGTACTTTGTATCACGCTTTAATATGTCGTACATTGTGTCGCAAAGCACGGCATATGCGACAATTTATTTTTCATTGTGTAGACCTAACTTACGAATCGTCTTTTTTCTAAGAACCAAGTTCTGTCTATATGCGTTAGTTGGTTATAAAAAAATATTTCAAACTAAGGCACGAAGCATTGAAACCTAGCCCTTTTTTTGAGTAAGTGATTTTTTTTAATTTAAAACTGATTAAAAGTTAAAAAAAATATCAGCCCTTACTCCTTTTCTTCGACTCGGATTTATTTGATTTTCGGCACATTTGTTTGTGTATTATTCCATGCTTTCGATTGGCATCGAACAGCGACGAAGTTACACATAGTTACGATGAAAAAATTGCAGTTGCATGTAATTAAGATTTTTTTTTTTCGTTACTACGTGTAGCTGTGTCGCAAATTTTCGCAATTACAGGTCACAGTGCGATCGCATTTACGGCGTAGTTGCGCTCCAGGCGCTTAAAAAGAAACGATATGAAATCTATTTTACCTTTCTAACATAAGTACGTGAATTATAATCGATCTGTTAAATATAAATCACTCTTCTTTCTCAATTTGTCTCTTTGATACTGAGTGATACTATTGAATATACTCTGTTCGATGATAAACTTTGTTTAAACCATAGTTCTCAAGTTTCTTTCGTTAGATCTGTTGTTTGATAAAATTAGTTTATATGCAAAAGAGATCATTTGATTATTATCGGTTTTCTAAAAACTGATATCTACTCTAGTGACAATCAGAACTATAGGTTTTCTTATGTTCTGCATATTTCTTACAAAAGTTGCAAAAAAGAAAATGACTCAAATTAAAGAAAAAAAAAACTTCATTTCCTCACACCGTTGAGTCTTATTTGTGAAGTGCATTTTTTATGAACTTTTTTCCATTATTTCAGTTGAAATGTGCGTTTTATGCTTGTAGTAAGAATTGACAAAGTAAAATTGCCTTCTAATATTATCGATAAACTGATGAAAAAATTTTCTTTTAATTTAAGTGACTAAGTTTCAATCGTTAAATGTTGTCGTTTTACTATTTTGCAAAAAGGATCAGACACAAAACCAATTAGAGAGTGATCATAATTACATAGAGACTAGACTAGACATCATGAACTATTAAATATTCAAAGCTAGACCTTCGTAACCTTTAAAATTTTTAAATAAACGAAAAACGAATGTGTTGTATTAGAAGAGAGTGAATAACCTTGATAACCACTATTTATATAAGCATTACATATACGTTCGGTTCTTTTTTCTTTTTAGAACTTAATTACAAATAGTCATAACTCAATATTGAATTATTTTTCACACAATTGTGGTCATTAGAGTAATATTTTGTGTTCATATGAATTATTGAAAATAAGAATATTTTCGTACGTACAAGTCTTTCATTAATAGAGTTGAATGTGTATAATGCTACGATATTTCACCTTTCTACAGCAATGATTTACCTATTATTTGAAGAAAAATTTATCTAATATCTGACAAATTTATGAGAAATGCAGTTGAGAATGATCGTTTTCTTTTATTCAAGTAATATGTCGATATTGCACGTGGTTTTACTGAATATAGGAAAAACTTAATTAGTTTTTTTTAACATTTCTTATTCCTTATTTTCTGGAAAATTGTTTGCATTTTCTTCTTCCAAATAATTTTTATTTACTACTATTAAACAAAATGTTTTCCTATGGACGTTGTCGTGAATATTATATTCGTTGTTATCGTTGTTTACCCAAACCAATCCGAAGACGAAAACTATATCAAATTGTTCAATTTTTATGTGTACTGATTGTAATAACTTTTATATTTAATATACTTCCTATTACTGATTTTTTTCAATCTTCAATATTATCCAAATCACAACAGATAGTAATTAGTTCAACATCTGAAGATTCTAAAAATGATACCCTCAGTACTATTGAAAGATCTACAAGGGCACTTGAAAAACTGAAAAATTTGTTAGCTAGTGTCATGTCTCCTAATGATCAACCATGGATTTGGATACCTACAGAACAATATCCATCTGTACCTTATCAACCTACTTTACTTTTAAATCAATCTATTCCAAAACTTTTATATAAAGTTACAGATTTACCGAAATCTGTTAAAAATGAAATCAGTCGTGTTTGTAAACGATTAACACAAGCTCATGAAACCGGTGGAAAAATTTGGTGTCAATTATTTAAAAATTGTTATGCAGATACACTTGCAACAACCACAACAATACTTGATGATAATACAACATTTATAATAACTGGTGATATTGATCTTATGTGGTTACGTGACAGTAGGTAAGAAAAAAAACAAACGAAAGAAAATTTTTTAATGTAATAAATATTTTTCAAAATTTTAATCTAGTGCTCAAGTTCATCAATATTTAACATTATGGAATGATTCAGATATTCAGCGTATTGTTGAAGGTCTTATTCGTCGTCAAATTCAATTTATTTTTGCTGATCCATATGGAAGTTCATTTCGTTTAACTCTTCGTCCAAATCCTCCAGCCGATGATTCTCTTGAACCAATACATACTCAAAAAGGTCGTAATCTTCGTGTTGCTATGCATAATTATGAATTAGATAGTTTATGTTATCATATACGTTTAAGTTATACATGGTGGAAACAAAGTCAACGAACAAATGTATTTAATCAGCAATGGTTAACTGCTATTACAATTATAATTCAAATAATGATTATTGAACAACATCATTCACAAATTTCACCATATCGTTATACAGAATTAGGTAATAATTATCAAGGTTCACCAGTTGCTTATACTGGTATGACTTGGAGCGCTTTTCGACCAAGTGATGATCAAACAAATTATGGATATCTTATACCAAGTAATATGATGGCTTGTGTTGCTTTAGAACAATTAACTGAAATGATCAAAAAAATATTTCCTGAACAAATTCAACTTTTAAAACAAGTATGAATATTTAACATTAGCAAGTTTTATTAATGTTTAACAGAAAAGAAACCAATAGAGATGAGGTCTATAGATTAATTATTTAAATCATCTTATCTATTACAATTTGAATATGCGACACGTCAGTGAACCCGAAAGTGCAACTGCTTTCTCTAAAAATAAAATTAGGAGAATATTCTTTTATTTTCTTTTCTTTTTGTTTTAATCCAATATAGAAAGAAGAAAGCCTATCAACTTTGTCGATTTTCTTTTCTTTTAGATCCTTTACAGCGTTGTGATTAGCTTCTTATTTATTAATTACGAGTCGGAAAAAAAGTTTCTTATTAGTTCACAAAAAAAAGAAAACCAGAAACTCCCTTTACAAGAAAATGTAATAAATGTAACAGTACAGTGATGGTGAATAGAAATAAAACAATTATATTAAGTGAAACTGCTGATGTAACATTAGTACCATCATCTTGAATGTGTAGGTAAAAGTGTTAATCATCTCTGCATTCATTCATACTTACACTTCAACAGGTGAAAAGAAACTATTTAATTTATCTTTAGTTTATGTTGAACATTATTTTGAAATTGATTTAGATATTATTGTAAATGAATTTGTATCGAAAAAAAAAATATTTCGAAAAAAAAATAAATAAATTGATTAATGTAAGACTTGAATTAAAAAATTGCTCACTTCTTCGAAAAAGTTTTCTTTGTGCCGCTTATAATAGTTTCTATCAGACTAGTTCTTCTTCTTATATTCTAATTATTTCTTAAAAAAGTAAACACAACCCATACCAGACAACTTAATCGATAAACATTGTCTTTTCAACTCTAGCATCAACAGTATGATCTACAATTCGGTAAAAATATGGAATAAAATAACACTAGTTTGAAGAATCACAGTATCATACTTATCTTTGCAGTTATCGTGAAAAATTCAATTTCGCTGCTCTATCAATAATTATAAAAACTATATTTTTAATAATTTTGCGCTGATCTGGTTTAAATAGTACTAAGTAAGACAATTAATAGGAATAATCTTCTAATGTCTTGCTAATTGACATTTTCCATAAATATGTTAATATCAGTCAGACTAATCTCTGACATGATTTTAATTGTTGGAAACATATGTCAACATTTTTTGTTGATCGTAAGCCAAAAAACAAACTCTAACAAATTTCATTTTTAATACTATGCATATATATAACATTAAATCGAACTATTTATGCTGTCAATGCTTTAGACGAAAGTTCTGCGGGGCAAACTTTTTCGTATTCTGAATCGTGTTTGTCCCATTAGCTAAAAGTCAGCTGACTGCATAAAGTACGTATGCCAACTTATTGCTTCTCACTCGTTTAGTTGCTACAACAATTTTTTCTCTTCTTTTTGCCAACCCATTAGTTACAGCTCAAGTCAGCTATTCGTTTTTCATACGTAATCATCATTTCGAAATGAGAAAAATTTTGCCAAGATTGTAAGAATATCATGAGTGGACATCTAAAATTCGTTTTTCAAAAACTCGATTCTGTTCACAGTTGTAAAAAAGTGAAAAACGATACGTAACAGCTGAGAGTTTTTCATACATGGTCATATATAACTTAATCTAAGACACACCATTGACATTTCAGATGTAATACGAACTAAAATGTACGAAAGTTTTTAATATAAAGATTAAAAATAATCTGAATGTCGGTTTTTCTATATTGTCCCGAATATCACTTGTTTCATTCATTCCTTCATAATTAGAATTATCTCGATCATAATCATCTCGCGAGACAAAACAAACAAGAGTTTTTGAGATTCGTGACTGTTCCATAGGACTCTATTTTAAATAGACTTCATTAATAATATCATTTGATTACTTCTAATTGTCATTTATATTATAAAACAATTTGATTACGATCTAATAATAGATTAAATAAATTACTAAGTTTTTTTTCTATTTTTATCATTTAGATTTCTCAATTACATGAAGATATTCTTTCTGGTATAAATAAATATGGTGTAGTGAATCATGAAAAGTATGGAAAAATTTATGCATTTGAAACTAATGGTTTTTCTCAACATTTACTTATTGATGATGCTAATGTACCATCATTACTTTCTGCATCTTATCTTGGTTTTAAAACACCTCATGATCCAGCAAATCAATTAATTCAATCAACACGTCAATTTGTTTTATCAGTAGATAATCCCTTCTTTTTTCAAGGTAAATTTGCATGGGGTATAGGAAGTCAACATACACAAAAAAATTATGTTTGGCCAATGGCTATTATTATGGAAGGATTAACAAATAATATTGCCAATAATACAATTAAAGATTTAGATTCTGTATGGCAAAGATTAGAAGCAAGTCATGCTGATACATTTGCTATGCATGAAAGCTTTAATGTTGATAGTCCATCACAATTTACTCGCAAATGGTAAAATAAATTAACATAAAAAATTTTCTTGATTTATTTTGGTTTTTAATAATTGTAGGTTTGCTTGGGTTAATTCTCTTTTCGCTGAATTGATCTTAACTCATTTAGAACAATTGGAAGATTGGCTACAGCATCGACGATCAACTTAATTTAGATCAATAAACTATAAACTAGTTTTTTAAATATAAAGTTAGATATTCAGAAATCTCTGTTTTTTTTGTCATTGTTAACTATGAATCCCTGCAATGGAAGAAAACTTTTTTTACAATAAAAAAAGATTCTAATTTCAATGAAATATATTTGATTTCTTTTTTTAATTCTTGGAGTACAGACAATGAAAAGAACACAAACACAAACACAAACGGTGAAACCAATAAAAGAAATTCACAAAAAAACTGTTAGGAAGTTTGAGAATAGTCTAAATCGTTCTTGTCTGTCCCACTTGAAGTTCACTTTATTTACTCATAGATCCAGCGTTCGGCTGTATGTAACCAATTGGAGACTTCATCTGGTCGGAACCATAAATCAATTTCACGTTTAGCTGCATTTTCCGAATCACTACCATGAACAATATTACTAAAATTTAAAACGAACAAAAAACCATTAATATCAATTTTTTTAATATAAACATTATATCTTACCGTCCTGTAACAATTGCATAATCACCACGAATTGTACCGGGTTCAGATTTAGCTGGATCAGTAGCACCAAGCATTTTACGACCAACTGATATAACATTTAAACCTTCCCAAACCTAAAAAATAGACAAAAAATATGATCTTAAATATTAAGTACAATACAACACGAAATACCATAGCAACGACGGGTCCACTGCCGATGTAGGTTAAAAGTGGTTCATAAAATTTCTTGCCTAAAAAATAAAAAAAATTCTAACTACAGAAAAATTAACATCTTGTTTTTTTCTTACCTTTGTGTTCTTCATAATGGCTTTCAAGCAAAGCTTTGGGTGCCTGTAATACGAGAAATAAAAAATAATTTCGTTCAAAATATAAAATAAAATTTTTTAATCTCACTTGAATCATTTTAAGTGCAACAAGTTTGTATCCACGTTGTTCAAATCGTCGAATTATGTCACCAACAAGTCCACGTTGGACACCATCTGGTTTAACCATAATAAAAGTACGTTCAGAAGCACCAGCCATATTTAATGTACTAAGTTTAGATGATGATGATTGATCGAAAATCTAAAAGATATAAAATTAAAATTAATATAAAAACTATCTGTATACACGAATGCTTCAGGTTATGTCGTTTCATTTGCATATATGTCTTCTATATAGAGGCAAAAGTAAAATTATAAAATAACGAAAGAAAAGAACGAGCAGTAGAAATATATATAAACCCCTTGCTCTTAAAGAAAGAAAAAAAAGCCAATAGTGTAATGCAAGAAATAAGTGAGAAAGAAAAAAAAATAAAATATCTGCTCAGCTGGCTCGCTCACTAACCAAAATACACATGCGGTGACGTGTGCATCATTGTCGAGGTTAAACAAATCCAATCTCTCTTTTTCTCCATTAATTTGTTCAACAATAGATGGCAATAATTCATATACAAACCTGATTTTCACATATTGAATGAGCATCATCTTTATTTGAACAATATTCTTGTTGATTATTGATGTCGATATTTGTATTTAATTTTTTACAGGAAATATATCTGATGGTTGTCACGGTGATTAACAATATAATAAACTCCGGCACTGAATTTTTTTGTGTCATTTTATGCTTCAGTTTCTCTAATGAAATATTTCAGAATGTAATGGTTGGTCTTCAATTCACCATTAGATTTATGGGAGAAAGAAAAAACAAATACGAAGATATAAATAAGATATTTTATATAATAAAATTACTGGCATTGGAATGAATGTGACAGGTTTTTCTAATGTTTCAAATAAGAAAAAAAAATATTCAACTATCTGCAATAAGTAAAACTTTAATTTTTAGCTATTTCCATATTCCTTGAACTTTGCCTAATCTTTCACAATTAATTTTTTTGTCAATTATGCTTGATGTTTCGTAATCTTGATGTATTAGAATATTTTTTAATTTAACATAAATAATTTCCTCTTCAAGGGTTTATCATGCATAATGTTGCCAACATCTAATTTCATTTTATCCTCGAATGATAATATGCTATTTTTGTTTAGAGCATCAACATATGAATATATTTATTAATATTACTGGCATACTTCTATGAAAATAGTAAATATAATCTTTTTTTATCGTTCTTAATAAAGAAATTTATCAAAATCTCTTTAACTAAGATTTCTCTCAATGTATTTTTCTGTATATTTGTTCACTCTTGATTATATTTGATTTATTATTAAATTGTACATGATGAAAGTAAACAAGATTACATAACAGCAGCAAGAGTAGAGATTAAAAAAGAAAGAAAGATAATAGAATTACAGATACCACTCTGCAATTTTTTTTATTAGTTATCTGATCGCATACATGCTGTCTGTTTGTTGCGATCTGTTTTCTTTTTACTTCTAAAAGACGAAAAAACAAAGTCAAAATTAAATATCGAATATTGTTCATATGGTCTATTTCTTTTCTTTTGTACCTTGTTTATTTATCTACCGCTAAAGAAAAAAAAAATGAAAAAGTTTTTATTTAAAAATATCAAATGATTTATTAACTCACACAATATAAGGATCCATTTCAGGTGGATATGGATAGGATTTAACTTTACGAGATTCAAGCATTTGATGAATAAAATCAATTGATATTGGTCCTTCTACTGTATGTCTCCACCGTTTAACAAATTGAGTTTGTGATCGATTAGAACAGAATTCTCTTAAAAAATAAAAGAAAAACAAATTAGGTAAAAATATTTTCAAAAATTTTACATACGATAATTCATTGAATCGAACAACTGATGGTAACTCATTGTCTTTGTTGTTATTATTCCAATTTAATTGATCACTAAAAAAATAAATAAGATTTTTTATTTCAGAAAAATAAAATTTCATAAAACTAACCGTTTAGCAACTTGTTCACATGATTCAAATATATTAAAAGCAGGCGGTTGACCATGTTCTTCAATAAAAATACTTAGAAAATTTGACATTTCTTCTGAATCTTTTGAAATACTTTGAAATAAAATAATCATTATAAAAATTAAATAGTTTAGTTTAAGAAGTTTGTACCTGCATAAATAAGCATGAAAATCATGTTTTTTATTATGTGACTTAGTTCCAGTCTTTGAATTCGAATCATGATGATGAAGCTTATGACTTGTGGATAAAAATCTGTTCATATCAGGAAATGGCATAACAAAACGTTTACTCCTTGTTATTTAAAATAAAACAAAAAAAAAAATTTTAAATTGAAAACACAAAGAAAAACATAACAGAAAATTTACTGTGTTTCAGGTTTTATTGTTTTAGAATCCGTTGAATATTTTTGTAAGCTAAATGATATATTTCAAATGAAAACAATTATATTCAATATTAAACTTACTGTGAGATATACGAGCAGAGCATATCAATTTGAGTAGAAGCTAGATTATGATGACTAAAAATAGATATAAAAGAATAAATACAAATAACACCAATTAAAAGAAATTTACTTCGAAGAAATATGTAATGGGTGACTATGAATTGAATACGTGATTGTTAACATAACAAGACATGATGCGATAGTGGTAAAGAAATTCATCTTGATCTTTTTTTAAGAATATTAATTGGAAAAAAAAAACTATAATCTAAAATAAAAGAAATGTCAGTACCTTTTTTGAAGTCATATCTATTTTATAATCACAGATGGAAAAAAAAAGAACAACTGGTAAAATTAGCTAAATATATTCCCGTTCATAGGTTATTTTTATCAATATGTTCTTTCTCAGGTATTTTCATTATTCAATGTTTACCTTTTGAGAAAGTCATACGTTCGGTATATTATGACAACTCGTGCATAATATTAGCTTGACTAACGTCAGTTAGTTATGTAAACGTAAATATCAAACAAAACAAAGCAAAAAAATTGAAAAGCAAAATTGTTTTTCCGTAAAGAATTCTCCCACATTATTGATCAATCTTTGACGTCAAACCACCGAATTAATTCTGCGTAATTTATGATAAAAAAAAATTTTATTTGTTGTTAACATATATAAGTGCACATATTATATTTCCATAAGTTGATTTTGTTTTGAGTATAAACTAGCATGTTGAGTAATAAGAGCTAATGAAACGATAATAATCCAAATACAAAACCAAGTAATGAGAAAAGAAGCCGCTTATTTAAGCAAAAGCTTCTTTGAGGAAAAAACAAGACAGATGAATTGGTATTTTATTAACAGCGACAATGTTAAGATATGAATCTAAATTATATCTCTACAAGACAGATATTCCTACGCCACCTACTAGTTTACAAGCAACTGTAGACTTCTGTGATCTGTCTGTCATTACCTTATAAAATATATGAAATGATCTCAGTGTGGTTTGTTCCATTGTTGTTATCATGGTTGCTCATAGTAACTTTAACTATAAAGACGAATGATAGAAATAATATACTCAGCGACTATTCGGTTTTTAATAATTCGATGTAAACATATTCAACATCTCTTATATATTTTTTTCTCTCTCTCATTCTTAAAACTCATATGTGGTATCCTGTTGCGATCTGACTTAAATATTGATATATAATTAGTCAGAACATTGAAATCGATTGACGCATTTTTCTACGTGAAATTAATTTACAGATGTTTATATGCAGCAATTTAAGTAGAAAATATATGCTAACCGCGTATTTTGTTTTCTATTGAAATTATATGCATATATATTCAACAGCTGGAACAATGCACAATAGATAGACACTTACAGTTCTACTCCTACGTTTTATATTGCTAATAATAAGGCAATGCAATATGCAAGCATTCTGAGTAATTTCGTCTATAAAATTAATGAGAAGAGAAAGAAAAAGACTATAACTATTTTATATTTATAATTACAGAAAACAAGAGAATGCCTTTTCTATCGTGTGATGTTCACATGAGTTTGTATGTGTCATGACTAATTTTATTTCATTTCAATCAGAAAGAATTTCAGTTTGAAGGCAAATAATAGCGACACTTACGGCAAAGGCATAGATCCGTTATGTGCATGACTTGGTTAAACTTTTTACGTTTCATGATTGATAAAGACAATTCATAGTTTATCGGGTCCTTGCCAGTTCTGAATAGTCATTTTCTAAAAACATTAACCACACTCATATTTGACATCTGCTAAGTGTATCGATCACATAGTTATTTTTATAATTACAGTGCTTAATATAGTCTAACATTTTAGAGTTGTTTGTGTCAAAAACTTTGCAAAAATAATGTGTTCTCAAAATCATCGATTTGATTATCATATCAACAATTAAAATAGACAAATCTACTCAACATTGAAATCATGCGATTATGATTAATAACATACTTACGAAGTATGAAATAAGTTTTGACTGTTCGAACTGAACTGCAAGTAGGAATTATGTATCTGAATCACATTACATTGACATCCTGTTAAAGATATAAATATTTCTTGTATGTGAATTTAGAAAAAATAGATTTTTTTTCTTCGAACTAATGAATTTATACATAGATAAAAAATATAGAACAATATTCATATATTTACTAGTACGATGGTGCGAATTATTCATATGTTTATCTAACGATATGGCACATAAGAAAAGTGGTAGAGAGAAGCGTGAGAAAAAAGTTGCGAGCTAGAAAAAACTGCTTATTCAAATTTATAAAAAATAACAAGGCTGAAAAGTTTCTATTCATGCTACGATATATTTTTTCTTTCAATAAAAAAAAAGGATGAGTTTTGCTAGGTAAAAATGATAGTTTTCTCGAAGGGTTAGCTTGCTCTTATAATTCCCATTTCCTTCCTCTTCAGGACACCTCGTCACATTGTTTATTATTAAATACATTTCGGAGACTATAATAAATTTATGGCGTAATGTTTTATTTAATATCCCAAGAAATCATGAATTGGATGAGTTGTCTTTTTGAATATAAATTATATACTTAAAGAGTTCCATTTGTTTTATTATATTACGTATAAAATATTCATGAAGAGCTTATTGTTTGCGAATTAAACCAACAAAACCAAAAAGTCATCTCATGAACATCGAATAAAAATGTATTGATTAACTTGTTTTTATTTGTGATTATCGATGATTTCATGGATGACAGTGCGTTAATCTTTGCTAATATATTTATAACTCAAATAGATCTGTCAAAAAACAATGTAATAATAGAACTAGTTGTTTGTATACTTGCTGTTCTAGTTTGTTTTAAACTGAACTATGAATGTGCAATTTATGTGAACATGAAATCGAACAATTATCATCATGGGAGATCTGTTCGATAAGATTCTGATTATTCATTTGACTATCATCATTATTACATCTCTCTTGATAACATTTCTCATACGATTTAATGTGCTTTTTCTAGCATCTAGAGATTGATAACTTGAAAAATTAGTTAAAATACGAATTACAACTATAGTTTGAAATTTAGTTTCAGTTTAACTTACATCATAGCTGATATAAAAAATATGGGTTCCAATAGAATATAACTATATTTTATTAATAATATAATCATTTTTATCAACAATGAACATTTGGCACAGTTTCAAGCACTTTATCAAATAACGCCTAACTTCTCTTCATCTCTAAAATATCATAAAATTTACCACCAGGTATAAATTTTTATTTTTAATAAAATATGGATAATTATTTATTAAATGGTCAAATGTATTATACACGTTCTGAACAAAAAAAAACTATTTTTTTAATTGCTTTTATAGATATAAATAATTAAACGCGTGAATGCTGTCTTGAATATTAGAAACAAACTTCCACAAAGTACATAAATAGTTCACAGGCTACAGTATTCTCATTATGCTGTAGAGTCAATTAATAGATGAAGGTAGTTATCATATCAAAAAAAAAAGCTTCCAGAAATGTTTTTCGATACAGTTTTTGCCGACGAAGCAGAAAATAAAGATTCCTGACTTATTTTTAAATAAATAAACAGGCCTGAAAAACATGACAAAATTTACATTTTTTTTTATTGCTTGCAGGCGCCAGTTATTCATTATCTTGTAATACTGCCGATATTTAGAAAAGACACAAACATTATTCTAATACTTGATTTTAAGGCAAAAAAAAACAATATATTTGACTTAATACGAACTATTTTGTTTTCTTTATTTAACTAAATGAATTTTTGTTAGAATTAGTCATTTCATGAATAAACAATATAATAGACATAATCAAAAAGAGTAAGACAGTTTTGACACAAAGCAAAGTTCTATTTTAAAATGGCTCTACTGAAGGACGAAGATCAAGTTCTTGTGTCCATGTTGAACGAGGTTGAATATGTAATTGCCAATATGTCTCAGCAATCTAAAACAAATAAAAATTCCATTCAATGGAAAAAAAAGTTAAGATACTGAATGACTCATACCGAATCACTATTAAGAAATGATTCAATATCTTTGTTAGGTTGACCTAAGTATGTAATCAATGATTGCTTGGTTTTTTCTGAGAAGAAAAATAATCTTACTTTGAACTTGACTAGGTGTATTAATTAATCCATCAATAATTATATGAGCAACATGAATACCTTTTGGACCGAATTCACGAGCCATCGATTGAGCTAATGCACGTAAAGCAAATTTTGCTGCAGCAAATCCAGCAAATTCGGCTGAACCACGAAGACTAGCCGTTGCACCAGTAAACAATATTGTTCCTTTGCCATTTTTGATCATGCTTGGAAGAACCTATGAATAATTATAATCAAAAACCCAATTTTTTTTCTCATTTGTATTTACTTCTTGACTGGCAACTAAACCACCAACAACGCCGATATTAAGTGCTTCTTGAAGTGCTTCAGGTTTCAAATCCAACAAACTTTCTTTAATATAGAATAAATTATATTTGATTAGAAAAATACAAAAAGAAAAGAAAATAATTCAAGTTACTATAAAGAAATCCACTAGCATTGTATAACAATACTTCAGGATCCTTGCCAAATTTTGCTCGAATTGTATTAAAAGCATTTTTTACAGATGATATATCACCAGCATCAGCTGTAACACTCAAAGCTATAACATATAATATGTAGGTTAATATCAATATATATATATGATAACAACAAAAATTATTCACCTGTATGACCTTGTTGTTCGAGTTCTTTTTGTACAGGTTGTAAACTACTTTCTTTTCGTGCAATAAGACCAATGGAGTAACCACCAGTTGCAAATCTTTAAGAAAAAAAAAGATTTTAATATTAATCAAATATTATAAATAAGATTATACCGTTTGGCTAATGCTGCTCCCAAACCTGGACCTACGCCTATAATTATAATCAAGATTAATTCATGAAGAAAAAAAAAATTATTCCTCCTATATTTACTGACCAATAACTACTGCAATTGGTTTTGTTGATGTCATTTCTCTTATTATTTCACGAATATATCTAAAATCAAAACATTGCATAACTTTTTATACCTTTAATAAAACTGCATGGTCATATTATGATGACGTATGCAAAAAAAAATGTATTTTCGCATTGTTTGTCATTATAGATGGCAGAATAGTTTTTCGTTTTCTTTTATCAATTCTTTTACTAAATCCATTACTATTTGTGGTTGTTCCATTGGAAAGAAATGTTTCGAATTTTCTAATTTTGTGTCTCGTCCTTTTTGAAACCATTTAACTAGATTAGGTACTGTTGGTGATGTATCAAATTGACCGAAATTATTTGGAAATGTTGATCTTACAATATGTATTGGAATATCTTTAATAAATTTTGATTTTTCAATTAATGGATATAAATTTGATTCGGCTAGTATACTTGATGTATATATTGATGCTTCTCCATTGGGTGCACATACAAGTTTATTATTCTCATCAAGAGCATAAGTACAATAACTACGAAGAGTCTCTGGTGGCCATCGTGAAAATGGCTCACGTTTTTCTAAACTTGATATCATATCTTCAACAGATAACCATTGACTTTTTCGGCGTACAATGTAATCTAAAGTAGACGAATAATCATGGTCTTGATACATTGATCGATGAAAAATAACAGGATCGAGTAAGAGTAATGATTGAAATAGTCGGCTTGATGCTGCTGCTGCAGCACGAGTCAAAGAATAGCCACCTAGAGAATGACCAACACCAATAAGGTTATCTTTGTTAAGATTAAGTGTTTCAATAAATTGTAAAACATCTTCTCCATGCCATCGAAAAGGATAAGGAGGTGGATGTGTTTGTGATCGACCATGACCTCGAAAATCCAACGCAATTACATGAAAACCATGTAAAGCTTCATTAATAATACGATCATAGCATCGACCATGGAAGGATGCAGCATGACAAAAGAGTATTGTAGGTTGACGACCTTGCCATTCCCAATAGTGAAGTTTAAGTGGCCCATGAACCGTTTCACCATTAGTCTGAACGATTGGACGATTAGGTAAAGTAATAAAATGACTACTTGGACAAGTTGACATCATGCGACGAAAAATACGAGAAAAAGTAAAAATCATATAATCTAAAAAAGAAAACATAAATTTAATCATATCTTCTATTTATTATTAATTTATTTGTATAGCGATGGGCATGTTGCACTGTAACTTAGATGATATATCGTTTTTAGAATCTTATTTGATTATAATAAAAATGGATAGAGTCTTGATTTTCATAGGCTCGACTAAAGAACAATTGTTCTGTCATGAAAAATTTGAATATTTCTGTATTGAAATATTCATATCTATAGCTATCCAGATTAATATTTTGATTTTTCTCTTCAATAAAGAAAATGATCTGAAATGTGTTTACTATCAAACAAAATAATTCTCAAGTTATATGATGCTTTTATTTTTGAATTCATTCTTGTGTTTGTAAGAAAAAATCGAAAAGCAAATACATCGTCATAATGACGTATATATATATTACGATTAAATTTGAAATATGATTAAATTCTGTATATATCAGGATGAAATCAGAATTCCTGTTTTGTCTGAACGTATTGAAAATTTGACTAGAAGTAAATTAATCAAGCTGAAGACAAATGAAAAGCTTGTTGCATTTGAAAAATACCACTTATATCGAACAAGTGACAATCCTTAATATTATAACTTATGGACCAAAATCTTTTAAGTATCCTAGTTTATAATGGTATATAATCGAACGAAAAATTCTTGCTTTTTCATATAGACTTTATTTTATGAAAGGTATGGATTTAGATTCACTTCTCAATCTACTAAATCTAAGTTTATTTGCTTCAGTCAGTGTAATATTTTCTTAATTCTTCTGTACAGATTGATTTTAAATCAGTTCAATCGTAAAGTTTATTTCTAATATCTCATATTGACAAACTAAATCATACAAATATTTGATATAAGCGATACTTTGTAAAATGAAAAAATATTTTTATTTGTTTTAGACTCTAACTTTGTTTAACTCAATGCTCACCTCTCCTAAATCGATTATGGCTTAGAGAAATTCGAATGGCATGAAATTTTCAATTTGATACTACGATGTTTTCAGAAGGTTTTCAGCTAAGAAAAATCAAAATTAACTCATTAGGCAACTCAACATTCTCTCTGGACCTTCAATATATTGACTTACTTCTTTGATTTAATAGAGCATGTCAGGATGCACAGCATGACACAGTCTTTTTGCTCACATTCTTAATTTTGAAAATGAAAAATTTAATGGCTCTAAAACATGGCGCTCTAATTATAAAAGTCCTCTCTTAGATAATAGTAACAAAGCGTCATTTGAAAAAAAAACGAGCTGTGTCATGCCTAGCATCTTGACATGGTCTTTCAAACAAAAAACAAAATCATTAACAATAATGAAGCTTCTTCGAGAATTCTGAGAGAAGCCATCAACAACACATAAACAGAGAAAAAAAGTGAAAAAAAAAGATTTTCCACTTCATCTGAAAAAATTATATTTTATAAGCAGAAAATGACAGAAATTTTTGGAAAAAAAACGAGATGACAAATAAAAGAATCACGTTATTTATGAAAATTTTCGCAATTTTTACAACAACTAACTTTGTGAGGAAAGCGTAATTAATTTACTTGTAATTTAATTTTAATTTTGTCGAAAAAATAATTCGGATCAAAATTCGAATTTCTGTTTAGACCAAAACATATGTTTTATTTGTTATTCTATTAGAATCATCTAAAGTTGCGAATGTATATTTTCTTTAATCATCTCTTTCACAAATTTAGCTGTTAACTCTGGTTGTTCCATCGGAAATAAATGTGTAACATGTTTTATATAAGTATCTCGTCCTTTTTTAAACCATTTTACAAGATCAGGTGCTGTTGGTGATGTATCAAATTGACCTACACTTAATGGAAGTGATGATCTTACGATATGTATTGGAATATCTTTAATAAATTTTGATTGTTCAATAAATGGATAAATATTTGAATAAGTTTGTAAACTTGATTGATACAAGGAATGTTCTCCGTCCGCAGTACATGTAAGTTTAGAACTTTCATCCAATGCATAAGTACAATAATTTCGAACAATATCTTTTGGCCATCGTGAAAATGGTTCACGTTTTTCTAATCTTTCTATCATATCTTCAACAGATAACCATTGATCTTTTCGACGAAGTATATGTTCTAATGAATCATGTCTCTTATCACCAATACCATATAATGAATGAGAAATAATACCAGGATCAAATAGAAGCAAAGATCGAAATAAACGTGTTGATGCTATTGCTGCAGCATACGTTAATACATATCCACCCATAGAATGACCAATACCAATAAGGTTATCTTTGTTAAGATTAAGTGTTTCAATAAATTGTAAAACATCTTCTCCAAGCCATCGAACATGATACGGGGGTGGATGTGTTTGTGATCGACCATGACCACGTAAATCCAACGCAATTACATGAAAACCATGTAAAGCTTCATTAATAATACGATCATAGCATCGACCATGGAATGACGCAGCATGACAAATAAGTATTGTAGGTTCATGACCTTTCCATTCCCAATAGTGAAGTTTCAATGGACTTTGACTTATTTTACCATTTTCCTGAACAATCGGACGGTTAGGTATATTAACAAAATGACTAGTAGGATTCGAAGACATCATCGACAAAAAAAAAATACAATTAGAAAAGAAAATTTGTTTATCTAAAGAAGTTCATTTAAAGACAGATAAGCTATAGAAAATCAAGAATAACTTTCAATTATTAGTAAAGCAAAAGAACAAACAGTAAACAGTACAAGAATTAAATCAAAACCTAATTCGTTAGCAGTCATCTCGTTTAATCATATCTTTTGAATATAATTCATCAGCTTGATATATTACCGTTCATCCATAACATGGTTTTTTTAAATCCATTGAAGCTAATTGATGATATATATATATAAAGATTTAAATATTTTAAAACATCAAAACAAAAATACAAATTAAATAAGCAGCGAAAAATAAAACCCAAGTTGATATTTATCAATTTTATTCCAAAAACAAAAAAACATGTTAGAATAATATTTTTTGCAAACAACAGCAAACACTAGCAATCTTTAAGTATAAAAAAATGTTCACCTAAATCCATGCATGAATAACATATTGAGACTAGAATATAAATAATAATAATAAAACAGAATAAATATAAAATTCATATCTTATGTTTTAATCTTATCGGAGGATGAAATAATTATGAATATGAATTATTTAATTATAAATCTGATTGATTAATTAATTTATGTTTAACAAGTAATTTTTGTATATCAGGATAAATATGCCGAATATTTATGTCTGATCCATATGCTTTAATAACTTTACCATTTGGATCAATTAAATATTTCCAAAAATTCCAAGATGGTGGTTCAGTTTTTTCTAAGCAAAAAAACAAACTTATCAATAAAAACATATTTATTATAAGATGAATCTATTTACCACTTAAAAATCTCCAAACATCTGGTAATTCGTCGTCGTTCTCGTGTTGTTGTATAACAGCACCTTTAGCAAAAATAGGAAAATTAATATCAAACATATATTGAGCCCATGATTGAATTTGTGCATCATCCTTGAGAGATAAAATTTTCAAAAAAAAAAATATTTTTTTAAAAATTATTTACTTTTGGTTCTTGATAGCCAAATTGATTACTAGGAAAAGCAAGCACTTGAAAAATATTTCGATCACCGTTATTAATTTTTTGTTGAATACCAACAAGTGCTTCAAAATGTGAATCAGTAAATGAACATTCACTAGCTACCTGTTTTAATTAAACGAGATTAATATTTAAACAAATTTTTTTTTCTGAACACAAATATTTTTTCTTTTAAGTTTCAGAATAAAAAAATAATAATATTTCAAAGTACTGATAACTAGTTGTCAAAACACAAGTTATCTTTTATTAGATATCTCTTTTTTGTTGTAAGTGTTTCTGATTAGTCAGAGTTTTTAGTTCGATTTTCAGCTGTTGCCAATTAAAAATATCAAAATTTCTTTAATACTATCTAGTGATTGGTATCCTATGATACATACATAGAGAAAAAAATATTGATGATTCTGAGCTCGTAAAACAGAAAAAATTGTACGATAACACGATGACCATTAGAAATACGGTAATAACGAAGAGTAATACATGTCTTGAAAAAATTGGAATTGAATAATTCATTTTTCTAAATATGTGCAAAATTAATAATTCTACAACAATTTATTCCAAATTTTTAAATTGGTTCATTCCTACTAATAGCTGCATATTGTTCTTTATAGTAATAGAGAATAGATATCTCTATTCAACTGATACGGTGTATATAAAAACCAAATAAAATAAAATCCTGACCTGTATTCCATCTTGACAAGACATGCAAACTAGTTTTCGATCCTATCGGAGCTGAAATGGGGAGTGTAACTAAAATAATTGATTGTGTTTATGTTTATATGAACATCTAATAAAGAAGGGGGTATTCGCGATTCAGCAGATTGCAATATCAAAGTAAAGTATTTCAAACTCACAGATAATAGTAGTGAACAAAATGTAAGTTTTATACGAACATTATTTTGTCTAATAACAAGAAAACATTCACAAGTGATCTGCTTCATTTGCCTCTATACAGGGTGTCCGGAAAATCATTGACCAAAAGTTTTTTCGTTTATCTTTGATATTTCATTTAACTTTATCAATAATTTTTTTTTCAAACTATAGATGAATATACTAAGTTTTTATTTATCCAAACGACCTTCCATATTATTGTGCAAAACTATCACCTTGGATGAAGATGCAAACATTTTGCTTTCTTTATATTTTCACAGCTTCTTTTTTTTTCTTTAATTATTTCGATTTTCTGTAAATTTTGCTTCAAAGAAAAGGTTTAAAATTTTTTCAATATACATAATCTTGTAGAACTCGACGAGCTCTATCTAACTATATAAAAAAAATCAAAGAAAAAACCTCAGTCAATTGTTGAATTACTCGGTTCTTACAAAGAAAGTCAAATTTTTGTATCTTGATTCAAGGTGAGAGTTTTGCACAATTATATGGAAGATCGTTTGAATAAATAAAAACTTGGTATATTCATCTATACTTTAAAAAAAAATTATTGATAAAGCTATATGAAATAGCAAAGATATACGAAAAAACTTTTGGTCAATGATTTTTCGGACATCCTGTATGAGATTAATAGAGTAGCGTTACCTCTAAAGGTCTTCTGTTCTTGATTAGATTTGTTCGAGATTGTGACTTTTTAGTAGATTCATGGTGCAGGATTACAAGTTTTTGAAAAACCTTAGATGTGAAACTTCGACCTGACACCATATACACATAAAAGTCTTGACGAAACTATCTCATACACAAATTTTTGTTAGTTTTGGATATCATATTATCAAGATATTGGTCTCTCAATATATTCATATCTTAGCAATGCGATCTCCAAAACTGATCAAACTTTGTCTATGAGATAGTCAAATAAAGATCTTTATGTGTACATAGTTTCATGTCGAAGTTCCAAAATCAAGATTTTTCGATAACTGTACTCCTTCAGAACGAATCAAATAAAAAAAAGTCGCTATTTCTACCAAAGTTAAGTAACATCAAGTAATCTTTAAAGGTTCTGATAGCAATCATTTACATATTAGCAAATGATGGAGGTAGACGGAAAGGATCACTTGACAATGTTCGCTCGTTTGCTTGATACCAGAATCATAGCTCTCCACGAAGAAGTGAGATGAGGACTCTCTTCTCCAATTATGATGTAACTACGAACAGCAACTGGATTTTGAAATACTATCTGTTTTTTTTTATTGTGGCAGAAAGTGAAATTAAAATAAGCAGATAATGTCATTACAAGATGAATAGGAACGAGGAGGGGCGGACAATTGCTGGGTCATGATGGGTTTTGTTCTTTTCTACTAATCACTACTTCTAACACTGCGAGAATTTTTTAACTCTCTACCAAAATTTTCAGCTTTTCCAATTTCTAGAGAACATCGAAAATTTTCAACAAGATTGAATCTCTTGTTAACCAGATTCAAAAATTAATTCGTACAGATCATATGTAATTTTTGTTCTAAGTGTAATTTATACATAACAAAGCACACGATAATAGAACTTACATTGACAACTAATGAAACCTAAAATAAAATAAACATATATTGTTTTTTTTTTCTTCTTCGTATACAATATGAAAATTGATATACCTTTCCACGATATTGTTCTAATGAAACATCATTTCCTTGCCAATCTTTAACTGTAAATGAATAAAAATCTTCACAAATAACATTTGAAATAATAATTAAAAAAATCCAAATGAAAAACATCTGAAAAAATACATATTTTATCTGGCAGAACACGAAAAACCAAAAAAGAAAATAAACAGAATCAAAATTCTAGTTTATTGATTTCAAAAAAAATTTTTTAATGATTTTCCTAATGTTTTATTATATTCTTCCAAACGTTGTTTTGTTATTTTTAATAAACTTTCTATTTTTTGATCATTTGGTTGAATTTGATTTGCTAATTGAAGATCTTTTAATGCTAATTCATAATCATTTAAATTAGCATAAGCATAACCACGACGATATAATGCTTTAATATATTTTGGATTAATTTCAAGTGCTGATGAACAATTTTCAATAACATTTAAATTATTTCCATAAATTAATTGACATGCTGATATATTTGAATAAATTGATAGAATAAGTTGATTAAAATTTTCTAAAATTTTATTATGTTCATCTGTTGGTTGTTCATTAATAAAATTTAATATATAACATAATGAACGATGATATAGTTTAAAAGCATGAAAATAATTTTTTTGTTGAAAAAATTTATTTGCATTTTCTTTATGTTTTAAAGCAAAATTATAAAGATTATCAATTGACATAGAATAAATTTCTGGAAAACGTTCAAATGAAATTAAACGAATAAAAATTTTTATTGTTTGATTTTCATTTCTAAAATTACATGTAAAAAAAAAGAAAAAACAAAAACTATGTTTAAAATAAGAACAATTTTTTTTTTTTCATTTTACAAATTAGTAGAATGATTAAAATTTAATTCAGATAATTCATTTTGTTTCATTGTTATTAAACATTTATGTACATAACTACTTATTATTGTTGAATAAAATCCAAGATTAATATTAAGTTCTTCATTTAGAGGAAGAAGATCATCATATAGATTTTCATTAAGTACATAATCATTGGATGAAAATTTGATTATTACTTTACAATTTGATCCTAGATCAATTCATAGAATTTTAATTTTTGTAAAAGTTATTTAATTATATACCTTCATTAGGTGCATAAAGACCTTGACCTGATTCAATGATCGTTTTAGTAAATGTTATATCGTCCGGAAGATTATAGACAGTCATTTATGAAAATAATTATCTATAGAAAGAAAATAAAGTAATCAAGAAAGAAAAACCACCAGAAATATTGTACATCAATCATAGAAAGTTCATCCTAATGTATAAAAATAGAACATTTATCTATTAGCCTTTAACGACCACGTATCGAATGGTCTATAGACTGAAAGGACAAGATGTCACTGATTATCAAGAAATTTTACGCGCTTTATTTTCTATATAGATTTTGCCATGATTTGTTATTTAGTTACAAATTTGAATCTAAGAAAAAAACAAAATATTTTTTCATATATCACAAAAGATTGCATAATATATCGATATTTTTATTAATTTTAAAATATGAGTCTGAGATGCAGACTCAATAGTTACACTCAGGTATTGTCTTTATCTGTTGTTTCGTTTTTTTTTGGGTGCACTTTCAGTTATTTTTATCTTATGATATAACTCAATTGATGTTGATAACGATACTAGAATTCGAAATAAAAATTTACATAGATCATATTACATTGAAACTGTCTTCAATTTATATTCAAATCATAAGAATTCGTACAGTCTAAAGTCGTTCATCTAATGTAAAACATATCATCATAAAAAAGTTATTAGGTATGAAAAATAACAATGATAAAAATAAATAGAAATTTATGCTTAAGACATATTTTAATTAGAAGATTGAGTCGTATAATCGTTCTTGAAATGAAAGAATACTGTTGAGATAGCATGCATATTATTATTAAGGAGCACTCCAACTGAGACTATATATATATATCTCGAATAAATTCGTTCCTTTGAAATTCACAAGAAATATGTTATTTCCGAGTTCGCTTCTTCACATTGTTTTGCCTTATATTTATCTTTAACGAATTACAGTTAATATTCAATTATCGATTTAATTGTTCTATAAATATATAGTAGATGCACATGCGAGTGTGGGTGTATAAAAGGTTTACCAGCTCACCCGCGGCTGCGCCCATGCTCTTCAATGCTGAAACTTCATCTTATTAAAAATGCAAATGGTAATCCTTCTGTTATGAAGCTTGCTATGATATGTAGAGAATGTATGAAAATAAAACATACTGTTAAGTGATCAGTGTTTTCTTCAACTATGTACTATTGCTCGTATTTCTTTCAATGAAATGAATATCATATGATCATTCATTTAACCAAAAAACTCATTAAAATCTTTTGAAAAATTTAATTATGGATGAAAATAAACAGACAAATTTAGTCTTGATGAGACAAATTCTTAACCATTAAGAAAGGTTTTAATCGGAGGTAAACTGATTATCATATTGTTTGCAATTTTTATTTTTCGATTCATCATTATGAAAAATGAATTCCTTTTGATTTTTTTTCTTTTTCAAACTATAACTCTACTATATATTTAATTTGTACAATATATATTACTTATTAAAAATGGATATTGCCACTTTGTTGAATAAAATAGTTAATGAGCTGATATGAGAGCAAATTTTGTATTTAATTACTGTCATTAGAAGAAAATTATTTTCTATCAACTAAGTACTTAAATTAGTCTTAATTTCAACATAACTTTGAGCAAATACTTTAAAGAAATAGAATCATCTATTCAAAACAAGAATGATGTAGCTATTTCGTTATTCATCACATCTCGTCAAAGAATTAGTGACAAATGATACAATATCATGACCTAACGAAGTATAAGTCATGTTAAAAAATACATATTAATGTACTTATTTTGTTTGTAAAATTTTAAAATATCCATCGATTATTATAATAACACTTTTAAGTAATAATGTGACACGTATTCAGTGAACCTGTAGAGTGCGAAATATAAATCTTAATATGTTTCAAGTATTTTTCTTGATTTTAAATTTTATTATGTTCAACATAACATTGTGTTTTCTGACAGTGATAATATATATAAAAAAATTTTTCAATATGACAAAGATTTAAAGAACTGCGATTTCTTCCAGATTTAAGTCTGAGCTCAACATCGTATTCAAAAATTTAGTTTGTTTTTCGGAAGCGGATCGTTACAATACGATTCCTCATTTGTTTACAATGCATTCATGTTCGATATCATTTATATAAATACAATTCAAATTCATCTATACGATAGAAAAGATTGATATTAATGTGCACTTGACAATTTTCAATGATGATTTTTGTTTATCAACTAATTGTTAAATTATCTTTTGTTAATAATGTAACTATTACTCTTTTCAACTAAGTAAAAACTTTAAAATCTATCGAAAAAATACATGTTCGATAGAGAAATCATATTTTTATCAGATTTCAGATTTTGACACAAGTCAAAATCAAACATACATGTACAACTCTTGACAACGTTTCTAAAAACAATCTTATATAGAACATTTTTTTTCCTAATGAACACTTAGTAGTTGAGTATTTACATTTCACTCCTATTATCAGCTTTTTCTCTTTTTCTAGAGCCAAAAAAAATAGATATAACGAATAGTAATTATTTGATAGCGTACGTCAAAAAGTGCCTACGTTGTCTGGTTTTTTTTTTTTCTTTCTTTTCTGAATTGTAACACATATATATAAAGAGAAATGGAGAAAATATCAGTATTTCGTATTGTTACAATTTAATTTAGTCTACAAGTCGTTTTGTTTCATTAGATGGGTCAGAAGTATACTCATCCAATTCCTTGTTATCATGGATATGCTTCTTTGCCACCATCACAACGGCCATGTTGTCGAACTCAACCTTTCACCTTAATTCATACACGAGCAATTCCATTAAAATTTGAACTTCGTCATTTCATTCGACGGAATCGACGTAATTGATTATTATGCTATTATTATTCTTTTGTCCTAAAGGTGATATTAGACATTTCTTTTCCTTTTCTTTTTTTTTTTTTTTTTATAAAAATTAGTGTTATAAGTATTTTATTTTTTTGGTCTTGGAATGTAAATTAAGGCTTATATTGAATTTGACAGTGTGAAGTCTTCTTTTCAAAAAAGAAAAAAAAGATTTCATTACTTTTCGAAATTTTCTTTTTATTATTAATGTCTGATGTTTCTATATGTCAAGTATATTTTTAGAATTAAATTAATGTTTAATTATTTCTTATTCTAATGATCAATGTGTCATTGCAATTCATTTTTTCTTACTTTTATATTTAATGATAACACACAAAACAATTTGAATCACTGTACTTTTTTAAAGAATATAGATTTGACACTTAAAAATATTAGTCTTTGATAATTGACAACAGGTTTTGTTTTTAATCATGTTCAAAAAATTTTAAGACTAATATCTATATGACTATGAAAAATAGTTATTTCATAAAAATGAACAAGAAACATTTTCCAATAGTTTTACGATAATTATAAATTCTAGTCAGTTACTATGATGTGTCAGTGATAATAAATGTATGGATTAAAATTAGTTTCGAATAATTTATTCTAATCGGAAACTTTGATAATTAAAATATTAGTTTCGGTTTCATAAATGATAAATAAATACCTAGATTAAAAACCTTCTTCTAACTACTGACTTGTTTTGAAGAACAGTCAAATCGAAAATGATGATTTTCGCTAAGGTAAAGTAAAATGAATCAAACTTTGGATGTTCTTACATATACTTCTTACTATTTTCCATATTTGATAGTGCTTTTTTTTACAAAGAGATATGACACTATATATTTCTATTTGTATATATGATCTTTTCATCTCTTATATTGATCAAAATAAATGATAAGCTGCGTAAAAATTTATTCAATGTGATGAAATAATGTGTTATTAAACAAGATAAATCTTAATGGAAAATTTCCATAAGAAGCTATCCCATTTTGTTTCGAACAGAACAGTACATTAATAAGATTTGTTTGTGACAATCAGAAATTTGGAAAAAAAAATTAATTAAGTATATCATATAGGCTAGACTAAAACATGTAAGCAGTATAACTTCTATACAGACATCAGAAAACAACATTTCAGCAC